CATATTACATATTATTGTACATTTCCATATTGGTATCAATATAATATACCATAACCGTGCAAGCAGGTAGCATTATGAATACACGGAAACGACAAAGGTATTTTTTAAAAATCGAATTATGCTAATTCGTTATTGATTGAAAAGCTTATGTGTAATATTGGTTTATACCTAATAACAAGACCTTGTCGCATTACATAATCATCGTCAGCAAAACATATCACCAATGCGAGCCCTGAAACAAAACCTACAAAGTCATAATAAAGCCTACAAAGTCGTCCTAGAAATAGAACTACTTTTTTGCAGAATGCCATTTCCGTATTCATTATATTATTTTTAACTTATAATCATAGTCAGCTTAATGCAATTAGAATAACAGGTAATTTATGATATAGATGAATTAAATCTGACAGCAATAGGTCACTCTTTATTGTAAATGTTTGAACACGGTGTTTAAGAATTTGTTAAGCGAATATGGCTATAAATTGATGGGGCCACGGATGCATAAATTGGGGACTCTAGGTGATTCAGTGGCCTCAGGGAAGACGGTAGCACATTGGTCACGTGCTGCCTTGCAAAGCGATGATCAAGGGACACGCACGTCTCCCTAAGGATGTGCCGTGGCAGGCGTTGCACCATGGGGGCTCCGGATCAGGTCTCTTCAGAGGACCCGGTGCTCCTTACAGGTGCTGAGGGTGGCCAACAGAGTGGTTTTAGTGAGGTACGAATCCTACACTCCCAGTGTTCCTCTCCAAGACGCTTTTTTTTTTAAGGGGGGAAAATCATCGAATGACTGCTCCCGCCTGGGTGAGGCGGGAGGGAGTGTCAGACTCTTACTGACTAAAAACCACCCCGTTCCTTCTCCTGCACGTCGAGTCGGAGCCCCGGTTACCCGTTAGGTTCTCCGCGACTCCGAATCGGCATCGGCCCTGTTGGGCCCCATCTGTGGTGGTCTGATGGTCTCCAATACGCTAGAATAGAAGTCACATAAAGGCTTCCTGCCGTCATAAAAAAATTTAATAAATTGAAGTTAACATAGAATTCAACTTTACTTATCTGTAAAGATGACAACAGACAGACTTATGCTGGAATACTGAAACGTTACTTAATTTTAAGTCGTGCTCAAATATCGTGCCCTCTCTGTCATTTTACAAAGAATTTGTAGAGATAGAACTATACTTAAGCACGACTTAAAATTGAGTAGTGTTTCAGTATTCCGACATTAATTATGTAGTATTAGAAAGCTATTTGTACAAAGCACCAATACAGTTATTGGAGACAAATATTTGAATTACCTTTCTTAGTTCAAAATATTCTTAACTGTATTGATATTTTAACAAATTTTTACGAATAACAAAACTTGCTAAGTGGTTATTGGACAACACAAAAAGTCTCATTAAAAGCGATACAAATATGATCTTGTACTAGTTAATGTTTTATCATAATAAGCATTGATAAGTACATAGACACCGGCTGGCCACACAGGTATGCTTTGCAAAAAAATGGAAGGTCGTGTGGTACCAATTTTACCAACATTTTTTGTGACTATACTACGCTTAGACTCGAGCAAGTACATAATATATTTTGATAATACTGTTACTATCTGTGTAGGTAATATTAAAATATACGTTGTATCGATCATAAACCCACAAAGTCTACATAACATAACGCAACAACACACAGCACATTGTGGCACTTAATGCCACTGAACAATGTAACACCCACTTTTCACTATTTATGTTATGAGTCCCATGTAATAGGGGTGAGCCTACTGCCATATATCGGGTACAATTCCAGACTCCGTGCTACCACTGAAAATTTTTAAAAACCCTAATAATACTTTGCCCGACCTGGGAATTGAACCAGAGACCTTTTGCCGCGACCACTCTGCCAACGAGGCAGTTGTCTGTTGAAATGTAATTCCATAAAATTTTAATTAATAGAACAGAAATGGAATGTTTTATTTATAAACACATTAGCATGAAGTAATTGAATATAAATGAAATAATTTAAAATTGATTTAGTTGTAGCTATTAGTGTTTTTTACACGAATCGAAATGGTATCAGCAATATTCAAATTTGTGCTTGTATTTTATCAGCAGGTACGAACGCTTTTTATAGTTCGATATGGAAGCGGTGCCCGCCGCCGCCGCCCCACTTCCCGCAAAATTCCAGGCGGAGGCCTAAGCCTAAGTCTAAGCCTAGCAAAAAAACTTCGAAAAAATATTTTATTATTATCGATCAATCAAACATTATCATCAACATCGACCCATATTTGATCGTTTAAATAGCAAATCTATCACAAATAAAAAACATTTTACTAAAAATATCGATTTACTCACGAAGGTTATGTAATACCAATGTACTGACAATAGCTCTACTAGTTTCAAGTCACAGAGGGACTCTTCCTAATGTGTAGACGCAGCATTGACAATACGCAGCCTATACTAATGATTTACGCGTTTATTTTTAGTTACCATAGTTAATATAAAAAAGCTCATATCTACACGTCAATGTATCATTAACACATTAAACGTCCAATGATATTACAAATTTAACGTACGGGATCTTAATATGAGATTTAACAATATAATTATCAAAAGATAATAATATAAGACCAAGTTACATCATGTGAGACAAAAATAATTACTAAAGAATATCTTACCGTTATGTTATGGTGTAATTTATAAAAGGACGGCGTTTTAGAATTGGAATCAATTACTTTGAATTATATTAAGAAATTTAAACACACAAAAAAGTACAATGATGATTTTGCCTATGACTGAAAACGTAATCGTTTCTTTAGGGGCGCCATTTGATTAAGGCTTGCATCCTTTACAAACAATAGGTGGCCTACATTACTGAAAATGCTTACATCTGGATTAAACACATTGCAATCTGTCTACGAAGCAGCGATGTTAAATTCGCCTACCGTTTTTGACACACATACATGCATTTGTTAAGTGACGACAGTAGGCGTAAGGCTTAGACCTACTGCACAGAATCTAACTGCCTACTGTATTAGGCGAATATAGGCGAATTTAACATTGCTGCTTCGTAGACAGATTGCAACCTCCCAAATCTCCCCTATCCCTCGCTCTCTCCCCAATCTTCCCAATCCCTTCCCCCTTTTCCCAATCCTAGAATATCCAACAATCCTCAAATTCTTAATCCCCAAAAGGCTAGTAACGCACTTGTAAGGCCTCTGGTGTTCCAGGTATCCATGGGCGACGTCAATTGCCTTAGACCTACTGCATAGAATCTATCTGCCTACTGTCCGACACACATAAGACATAACATAATTTACATAACATAATAGACATAAGATAATTTTAAACTAGTTTATTTATAGTATATGCACGAGCAACTCAGTACTGAGACCTTTTATGCGGAGCATCGCCCTGATTCGAACTTGACTTTAAGACATTTCCTGAATTTCTTTATTAAAAATAAGTACTAAAATAAAACTGGAACAATTGTTCGTTGATATAAAAGGCGGAGTAGGTGCTACAAGGGACATCAGATTCACAAGATTCTTCGACGTAGTCACAACAACAAAAACAATCCCTTCAAAATGTTCGTGAAGGTAAACACTCCTTAATTATTTATTTTATTTTATTTTCATCCGCTGCAGTAATTAAGCAATTACCATTTACTACCATTTACCTCTCATTCTTAAACAAGAACTGATTAACAACATTATTTATTTTATTTTGGATACCAAATCATAATTACATTCTAACGATGCTATATTTTCCCCAGTTCGTCGCACTCTTCGCTCTGATGGCCGTCGCTAGCGCCAGTGACCTGTCCAGCTTCGCCTACAGCGTGGCGGACCCCTACACCGGTGACTTCAAGCACCAGATCGAGAACCGCGTGGACAACAACGTCGCTGGCCAATACTCTCTGCTGGAGTCTGACGGCACCCGCCGCACTGTGGACTACGCCGCTGGTGCTAATGGCTTCAACGCTGTCGTACGCAAGGACCCCGCTCTCATCGCCGCCGCTCCCGTCATCCCTTACGCTGCCCCCGCCATCGCTCCCATCTCATACGCCGCTCCTTACGCCTACGCCAAGTTTGGAAAGTTCTACGGCTCTCCTTTCCCATACGCTCACTACTACTGAACCTAGACCACTGAATTTGTATTTGTAAATATCGGCGCTGTAAATAAAATTATATATTTCCTGAACTTCTATTGATAACTGATTTTTATTAGAAAACCTACATTGTAAGTAAGGACGTTTCGTAAATCGAGTGAACGGCTGACGAATTTCTATGGGTTTAATTTCAATTTTCTCAGTAATAGCACTATGTCGGTAATATGTAGCTAGTGGATGGTAATAGTTTCACACTCAATAAAACATGCCTCGCAAACTTTAATTGGGTTAGAATGAATGAATGAATGAATGAAGGTGCACTTTTGTTGGCCTTTGAGTGCAATGAAAGTTAAAGAATATTAAAACATCATTATTTACTTATTATTTTGAGATACCACGGTCCAATATATACACAGAAGATCTCTAACAAATATAGAAATGCAGTAGTCGCTCGGGTGTCTTATTGGACGATTCGCACGAATTTCATTTATTGGCGTGCGAATCGACACTCTCACAAATATGTAATATCCACAAATATGCTATTCGCACACATATTGTTTTTTATGAAATGCAGTTAAGATAAGGTACACTTGAGCACAGAAGTAGTAAGGTCAAATATGTTTTACTCGTAATAGATAGAAAATAAAAACGCAATCTATAATCAACAAAATCTGTATTAAAATTAAAACTAAGTACTAAACATCTTCTAAGCTCGTGGTTTGAAGATAATTTTTTTTTTGGCATAAAAATGAGCGTGATAGCATATTATATATATAGCTTTCTCTTTAATTTTTTCCTGTAATAGGCGAATTTTGCGGTCATGTTAATATTGTTTTGTATGAGTAAAAATGTAGATATGCCACGTTTTAAGTCATTATTATTATCACTTATTCCATACAGATCTTTCTTATTTTCAAGTAAATGCTGTTTAAACTTAGATTATTTTTTATTTTTATTTCAGTGATGGCTGAATACGACTGTTCTTTAATTTTTTTAAACCTTAAAATGAAATGTGTGCAAATAGCCTACTACATATTTGTGAGGGTGTCGATTCGCACACCAATAAATGAAATTCGTGCGAATCGACTACAGAAAAAAAGTTTTAAAGGAGTCGATTCGCATGTTTCGTGCGAGTTAAATTCGTGCGAATCGTCCAATAAGCCGCTCGTGTCGGTTGGTCTACTCATGTAAATTATTGTCAAGATCACCAATTACTAAAGAATAATAAAAAAAAAACCATTAATACATTTTTTAATATTACATATATATATATTTTACACTTGGGAGCAAATAAGCGGAGCCAGTTGAGTTTTTTTTTTATTAACGTAAATCGAACCCCCTGTAACCAAAATAAAATATATTTCTTTTACAACAAAATGCTCTAATTTTAAGGTAACAAAATTGCCTTTTATACGACATACATTACCAATAAATAAAGTAGTACTTGACACACGTAAACTAACATAACATCATGCCTTTCACCCCGAAAGGATAGGCAGAGTTGTACATTACGGTATTTAATGCCACTGTACAATGTAACACCCACTTTTCACTATTTGGGGGTGAGCCTATTGACATATAACACGACACCACGCACATTTTGAATGATTTAAATTAATAACTTGTATAATTATGTATTTATAGTATTTTTATGTTAATTGAGTAATTATTTTGTTTGTAATGTATGTATTGTATTTATAAATCTTCAATGTATTAGTTTATAGTATTCGATATGGGCCTGTGATGCCTGAAATAAATAAATAAATAAAATATATCGGGCACATTTCCAGGCACCGAGCTACTATTGAGGTTCTTACAAAACTCATGAATACTTCGTCCGACTTGGGAATTAAACCCGAAACGCTTTGTCCGGCAGTCGCATTTGCGGCCACTCTGATTTAGTAGCAGTAAATGAGCAGTAAAGTACTTGAACCAGAAAAAGGCTTTGACGTTTCTCCCTTTCCTTTACTTAAACCCTACTATATGCCTTTGTGTATCACACGAAATATATTGAACATGAACACATGTACTACATGAACTCCTAAAAAAATTAACGAAGCCAACTAGATGTTAAACAGTTTCAAAATGCAGATAACATCAGTACTACATTCATTAGCTATGAGATCTATTCACAACATTCATACTTTGTTATTAAACGCTACAATTAACAAATGCACCACTATTATAGTGTACATCCATTCTTTTTTCAATTTTCTACTTTAACACGCAATAATAAAGTTTAAAATATGTAAAAGTTTAACTAATTAGAGTATCTTCATGTGCTGGCCTATGTACTGAGACTGTTTATAGTCATAATGTTGTAAGAGCTCTATTACAAGGCTGTAGCTACGTCAAAGTTATTAAAAACTTGTTCATTTCTTTGTTTGGACGTGTTTAAATTATTTTTATAATTATGTTTGTATGTACGTTGTTACAATTTCTTCCCGCTATGAAGACCTTGTTTAGTATTGGGGAAGTAATGAGTGTCAGAATGTTGTGGAGTGTTAAATAAATTATTATTTGTAAATTAATTAAATAATTTTAGTATGTTAAATAACATAACATTCTTATTATTCTCCGCTCGTTCTATTAAGATCGGGTGAAATAATTATGTCCATATTATTCAATATTATTGTAACACCTAATTTTCGTATACTCTTTCTCACTTTTCTCAAAATAGAGAGAACTTTGTTAACTCTTTAAAAAAACTGTAAAGTAAACATTTTTTCGACTTTCTAATCCATGAAAGTACTGCATACATACAATTGTTCCCCTTGGTACAAAATTAATAGTTTAATCGTTTTTACATTCCGATAAATATTTTTTAACACGAAAATGTAATACCTGTTTCAGATTCTGTGCAAATATTAGACTAAGACCGAAGAATCTACTAACATCTAATCGATTGCTATTTAAGTGAAAGGGTCAGTCAACTGAGCTTATGAACAAAGCATTGTGTATGACTAATAAGAAAAAAATGAAATCAAATTAGTATTTAGTTCTTTGACTATTTTTATTTGATCACAGCATCGTTCATTGCATTTTCTAAATAAATAAAAACATTCATAATATTATTTAGTACAGATGAGCACCGTAGAGACCGTGAGCGCCATGGGCTCCGTAGGCGATGGCACCATGGGCGAGAGGAGCGACATGGGCACCGTACACTCCAGCGTTGTAGGCGAGGGGAGCAGCATGAGCACCGTAAGCTACGGCACCATGAGCCAGGGGAGCGGCGACAGCGCCGTAGGCAGCAACACCGTGGGAGTATCCGTGAGCCAAAGGAGCGGCGGCGTAGCCGTGGGCGAGGGGAGCGGCGTAGGCGACGGGAGCGGCGTGAGCTACGACGGGAGCAGCATGAGCGACGACGGGAGCGGCGTGAGCGTAGAGAGCGGGGTCTTTGCGGACAACGGCGTTGAATCCAGAGTGAGCGTCAGCGGCGTAGTCCACAGTGCGCTTTGTGCCGTCGGAGTCAAGGAGCGAGTACTGGCCGACCACGCTGTCTCCGACGCGGGTCTCGTGCTGGCTCTTGACGTCACCGGTGTGGGGGTCGGACACTCCGTATGAGAAGCTGGTGTAGTCGGCGCCATGGATAGCGCTGCCTTGAGCAGCCGCCACCAGCAGAGCAACAACGACGAACTGGAAATAAACGAACGAATAAACAAAATATTCATTTGAAACTACATAGCGAATTTAATCACAATATATGTACATATATATAATCTTTAAGCAATGTAAATATCTTAACATAATTTTTACTTTTCTCCTTAGTGACCAGTTAATTCAAAAGATAACACTAAAATTATTTTTCTTTCATTTGATTGTGTTTTATTATCAAAAACAGAATACTTTCATGATAAGTCACTGGAGAGAAGAAAATAGCCTAATCAATAAGCGTTTACTTTTTTCAATAAATCAATTTAAAAATAACCAACCTTGGCTGCCATTTTAATATTGTTATTGTTTCACGAGCGAGCTGCGAATGTTTGACCAGGGTTAGCAATTCTCTTTTTATACTATTCCTACATGACAGTTACTGTACGCAGAACTAATAGGAAGTAAGACACATGCAAATGAGGTCGGTAAACTGAAATGTATCCTGATTGCGACAGTGACTATTTTCCGTGGAAATCTGAAGTAATTTGAATACACCGTAGTAAGTATTTGTTTTAAATTTTGACGCGTTTTTTGTTTCTGTATAATAATAAGACTAATCTCAAAAGTAGCTACAACAGGATATAGTGACTTATTTTTTTACCAAAGTAAAAGTCTTAATTTTTTGGCGTTTTTCTTTATTAATGATCTTATTTTAAACTTTTCAAGCAAGCTTGTTGAGAGCATCGATTGCTAGGTGAGTTCATTGGTGCGAAGAGGAAAGGATTCTCTTAATAAGAAAAAATATAACATATGTTCCTTTGAATCACAAATGATTGTATTATCAAAAAGGGTTGCAAACTACATACATAATATTATATGTATGCAGTTCTATCTATGACTGCAATTTCAAAATACTTCCGAATATCAAGTTCACATAAATTTTCAATGAGTATATTGATCAATATTTTTAGTAATCAAAACATAACATAACGCCTTTTATCCCCGAAGGGGTTGGCAGAGGTGCTACTGTACAATGCTGCATCATGCTACTGTACAATGCAAATGCAACACCTACTTTTTCACTATTTATGTTACGAGTCCCATGTAATAGGGGGTGAGCCTATTGCCATATACCGGGCACAATTTCAAACTCCGTGCTACTACTGAGATTTTTTTAAAAACACAGTATCTCAGTATATTTAGTGATCATGACATCTAATACGTCTCTAAAATAATAATTGCAACACTAATTTACAAGAAAAACAAAACATAATTTTCGACTGACCTTAGTATTGATACGCATTTCTGTCAGTTGCTGACATAAGTGTAATTAATATTAATCAAACGATATCTTACACATCAAGCGCAGTTACTTAAATGAGAAACAATGACTATTACATATATTTTTTTTGTCGTTTGTTGAGGTAAGGGTATCCTGTTCCCAAGCACGAGATGCAGATAAATGGCATTCAGCTTTTTCAAAAAATCGTTGAGATTTTTTTATTGAATGGAAAGGAGGCAAACGAGCAGACGAATCACCTGATGGTAAGCGATCAGCGCCGCCCATTGACACCCGCAACACCAGAGGAGACACAGGTGCTTTGCCGGCCTTTTAAAATAGAATACACTCTTTGAAGGTTTGAAGGTCGTATCAGTTTGGAAATACCGCCGACGACAGATCATTCCACAGTTTTGCTGTGCGAGGCAGAAAGCTACGTGAGAAGCGCACAGTTGTGGCCTGCCAACCATCTATATGGTGGGGATGCATATGTTGCCGTGAGGGTCGATTGCGAAGAGATGTGGCAGGTATCAGGTCAAACAATTCCTCAGAACACTCCCCGCGATAAAAAATACACAACGAAGCTACATCTCTACTCATTGCCAAAGTGTTTAGCCGGATAGATACAGTTAGAATGAAAATATCGTGAAAACCATGGACTTACAGTTCAATGGGTTCGACCGTATTTTTACTCATCAGATACGCTAGTGTGAATCTCTTGTTCTTCGTCCAATAAGAATTAGTTACTGTCACACCACTGGACTATTTGACAGCTGCTATGATTGGACGAAAAAAATCCTTAGCTTTAAAAAGAAACATTAGCCCCATTGTAAAGGTCTGTAATAGCCAAACTCACTATGAAGCTCAGTTTAAACATAGTTTTTTTAAAACAAATTTTCAAATGTTAATCCCTTTTTATTTTATACTAATTACAGTCACATTAATTTACTTCAACGTGACTAATTTTAACCTAATAGTAATGTCTACACTCAATAGTCAAGACATAGTACCTACTTAGATACTAAGTAGAGGTATATTTTACTACAGGTGTAAAATATTATAGCACCGGTGCATTTCATCTACTGTAAAAACAATTTATTACGACGGTCTGAAAACCGTCACAGGAGCTTCCAATTCCTATCTCCCGTGAGGTATGCAGAGACTATGCCAATTGCTACGATTCTTACATACCTACCTCTTTCACTTCAAGTGAAACAAGTGAATTTATTTCTGCAAGTAGGCTACAAGGCAGCACTTTTACACGTCAATTTTATCAAGCGAACGATGAGGTCGACATTCTTCCTCAACAGTCATCAGCCTTTTAATGTATGCTCGTTTATTTATTAAGGGTACTTTTAATTCTGCCCTTATTTATTAGGTATATATATATATATCGATATTTAAAGGACGTATTTGACATATCTTAACACCTTAAGATAATGACTTGTATTTGTATATACGAGAAATAAAAAGCTCATTCCAAAGGGTACATGCCTGGCATACGTCTTAGAATAATCACAATATATGTACAAATACTTATAAGGTCAATCCTTAAAGACAATGAACACACAAAGCATATTTGCAATGGTACACCGTTGATAATAAATAATTGGTTACGTAGTAAGGTTGATACGTAATAATTATCCAAAGCCAATACCAGGATTCAGTTCAACCAATGACCTTACTAGGCCGTCTCTTACTTCCTTTTATTACCAAAGCAAAAGTAACATAGGAACAGTATATAAAGTGAATTGGCAACCCTGATTTATCATTCGCAGTTAGCTTGTGAAACAAATAATAACAAAACAAAATGGCATCTAAGGTTGGTTGGTTTGTTTAATTGTTTCTACCCTGTGAGTTGGATGAAGTGAATTAAATGTTCAGTGGCAAAAAAAAGTTTTATTGCATCTGCGGTTAATTCAATTTTTGGTGAAATCTTTCTTCGCTAAGTTTCTATTCCATGTATATTGCATTAGCAATAGGCTCCCATTAAATGGTTCTGATACCATAACTGGCGAATTGGTGAATGTTATGTTTGTTATGTACACCACTGCCTCTACCATTTCAAAGAATATAAGGCGTGCCTATTAATAAATACAAATTATACAAGTTGTAAACTCATACATACTCTGCTGCATGATTCTTTAATGTGTGTCTAAAATATTTAATGCTACGCTTCCCGGCACATTGTAATAAAATTTGAACTATCTGCTTTCAGTTTGTGATTGTTGCTCTGCTGGTGGCCGCTGCTCAAGGCAGCGCTATCCATGGCGCCGACTACACCAGCTTCTCATACGGAGTGTCCGACCCCCACACCGGTGACGTTAAGAGCCAGCACGAGACCCGAGTCGGAGACAGTGTGGTCGGCCAGTACTCGCTCCTCGACTCTGACGGCACAAAGCGCACCGTCGACTACGCTGCTGACGCTCACTCTGGATTCAACGCCGTCGTCCGCAAAGACCCCGCTCTCTACGCTCACGCCGCTCCCGTCGTCGCTCATGCTGCTCCCGTCGTAGCTCACGCTGCTCCCATCGCCTACGCCGCTCCCCTCGCCCACGGCTACGCCGCCGCTCCCTTGGCTCACGGATACTCCCACGGTGTTGCTGCCTACGGCGCAGTCGCCGCTCCCCTGGCTCATGGTGCCGTAGCTTACGGTGCTCACGCTGCTCCCCTCGCCTACAACGCTGGAGTGTACGGTGCCCATGTCGCTCCTCTCGCCCATGGTGCCATCGCCTACGGTGCCCATGGCGCTCACGGTCTCTATGGTGCTCATGGTGCTCATGGTCTCTATGGCGCCCACCTGTACTAAATTATGTTAAGAAATATTTAATTTATGTTGAAACGAAATATGAACGAATGAAATAAGCTGTGATCGAATAAATTGTTCGAATATTATTTACTTTCTCTTTCATTGACAACTACCTATAAATATGTATGAGCCAGAAAATGAATAAATGGTCTTAGGGCCAATTTTTCAATGCTCAGATAAATTTTAACTGAGGAACAACTTTCAATATTTGACAATTCTTCCATACTAAAAACTGTCAACTGTCAATTTTATTGTACAGTTAAGAATTAACTGGTGATTGAAAAATCTGCCTTTATTCGTAGCAATATAAACTTGCTGCAAAAAACTAAACATTTTGGGTAAAACCAAGTGACCAGGAAAAATCTATAGACTCACAAATGACCGTACCAACCGTAGCATTTACTTGTAGATTAACGGATTTAATCAATACATAGTATAAAACAAAGTCGCTTTCGCTGTATGTCCGTATGTATGCTTAGATCTTTAAAACTACGCAACGGATTTTGATGCGGTTTTTTTTAATAGATAGAGTGATTCTTAAGGAAGGTTTGTATGTATAATACATGCATATTGCACCCGTGCGAAGCCGGGGCCGGTCGCTAGTTTCCTTATAAAATAGAAACGCTTAGTTACATTTAAAATTTGTGTAGCGTAATGGATCACTCGATCTCATTTTAAGAGACTATTCATTACTATTTCATTTTCGATTGTACAATAAGGTAAGTTTAATGACTAATCCAACAAATTGAACAAACGACGTAATGAAGATTGTAGCAGACGCAGAATGCAGGTCGCTTCCAAATGGTTGATCTAAATATTACCAACAGAGGATGCCTATGTTCAGTAGTGGACAAGAAGAATTATAGTCAATAAATACTATCGATGCATCTCCCTGTGAGTACCGTCATTATAGACACAATTGAAGAACAATAGTTTGCGGTCACCGGTGTCCTCGCGGTGTTTGACAGTTTAATACTTTAAACGATTACATTAAACTTAATCGCTAGGTTATGTATACCTACTGGATAAAGATAGAGATAATAATCAACGAATTCTTCGAAGACTGTGAGAGAATGCAAATTTACAATTCCTTGGAATATCATTACAATTTTTTATTTTCCAAAAGAGTGCGACAATTAGTACCTTTTCTATATTAATAATTTCGCAAAGGGGTAGACCGGTCGGAACATTACCTGAATAACAAAACATAAAAAAAAAGAGAAATTCGGATTACGGAGATTATTTCGTTTTATTAATTCATTTTAATGACACTGACAGACAAAACGCAGTCGCCATCTTGAGTAGACAATAAACGTTCCATTTCATACTAGCTCTCTAATACGCTTCGCCAATCAACACGTTGTCGCGTCAGAAAATTTAAAAAAAATAACAAGAAATATGAATAACTAGCTACTTTCGCGCGGTTTCATACGCTCTGCTCAGCTCCTATTGGTCGTAGCGTGATGTTTTATAGCCTATAGCCATCCTCGATAAATGCACTATCCATTATCCAACACAATAAGAATTCTTCAAATCAAACTTGTAGTTATGGAGATTAGCGCGTTCAAACAAACAAACAAAAAAACAAACTCTTCCGCTTTATATAATAGTATAAAATTTGACGCGAACGAAGTCGCGGGTAACAGCTAGTTTATATAAACTTTTTACCATTTTTTTTAAGCGTTGCCCCACATTAGGATTTTCTCCTGTGTCGTGGGTGCGTTTACAAACATACAAGTTCACACACACAATGACACCCAGGCCCGAAACAACAATTTGTGGTTCACACAAAGTGTTGTTCCGTGCGGGAATCGAACCCGCGACACGTTGCGCGGCAGCCGGTTGTCCAGCCACCGCACCAACCGTGCAGTCGTCAATTATACTAAGAACTTGAATAAGCATTGAAGCATACAACTTTTTTTTTTTCACAAAATCGGTTATGGTATATTTCCAAAAATGTCATATTGGCCTAATGTCTTCGGGTTCTCATGTTGGGTTGTAAAGGTCACATAGCTTCACGTAGGATATTGGCACTTAGCCGACTTACAATAGATCTTAAAATTGACCGTAATGTAATTGTGAATACGTGAATTTATTTATGTATGTGTTTTATCTCGTTGCCGTTGGCTCTGGCCGAGTGCCTGTCTCGTTGTCCGAAAGGTCGCAAGCGCGACTGTCGGGCAAGGGGTCTCGGGTTCGATTCCCGGGTCGGGCAAAGTCTTACTGGGTTTTTAAAAAAAAAAACCTCAGTAGTAGCACGGAGTCTGGAATTGTGCCCGGTATATGGCAATAGGCTCACCCCCTATTACATGGGACTCATAACATAAATAGTGAAAAGTGGGTGTTGCATTGTACAGTGGCATAATGTGCACCTCTGCCTACCCCTTCGGGGATAAAAGGCGTGATGTTATGTTATGTATGTGTTTTATTTTACATAAATCTTACCATACCGAAGTAAAATAAACTGCCATTTATAACAGAATAATTGTTATATTTGTTTTACACATTTTTTTGACGAGCCCATCTGCCGTCATTCTCAATTGCTCATGCAACACAATGTTGTTTTTATCAGTGCATTTTATTAAGTTTATTTCATCAAAGTACATTTTAACATTAAAATAAATAAAGTAGAAAATTCAGTAGCTTGTTTGAACAAAAGCCTATTAATTTGGCCATCATTATGATACGATATTATACAACACCAAACTTCACAAAAAAAATTGCTTTGATCCATCTGAAGTCCTCCAAAAATAGAACATCCTCCATTGACCTCTACAAAAATATATTATTAATTACTAAAACGTGTAAAGAAGGCCTAAAAATATCCGCTGTAGAACTAAAATAAATAAAGCATGGACAATTTGAAGAATGTTAACAATTCCAAGGTTGTTGAATTGATATAGGTACCTAAGTAACCCTTCCGTAGTGAAGTTGTCCTTATATAAGTGAAAGTTTATATTCATTTTGAAATGAAATTGGAATGGTACGTCACGATTTTACACTTTTGAAGGTAAATGAAAGTAAGTTCTTCAGGGGTTGAAAGTACCTTAAAACTAGTTTATTTCTTAGTAAAGGATATAATACCATTACAGGAATAAATATAGGTATATAGACAGGTATTTCACAGAAATGTTTTCTGGTTTCTTATTAGTCTACCTCATTTTTGACTAGTGGGTCTGATACCCTTACCACAAACATATATTATGTATTATAGATGAGCTAAAAGCTGAAAAAGAATATAATAAAATAAATTATAAAGAAGAAGATGAAGAGAGTTCATAATTTTGCTAATAATACAGTTATGTTTATCTCAGTACAAAACGTAAACTTAACTATCTATACGAACATTAGACATCCTATGAAAGAGACTTTTTAAGAATTATTTCATGATAGTTCGCCATCAATAGTCCATGATAGTTGATGACTAAGTGTGGGACAGCCATGCTTCGGTACGAATACGCTGGCTCGACCAGAGTGATACCACGGCCTCACAGAAGACCGACGTGAAACAACGCTTGCGTTCTGTTTCATCGTTTGAGTGAGGTTACCAGACGCCCAATTACCCCTCCCCTTTCCCAATCCCTGAATCCCCAACAATCGTCAATGCCCTAATCCTAAAAGTAACGCACTTGTAAGCTTCTGGTGTTTCAGGTGTCCATGGGCGACGCCGATTGATTATCAGGTGATCCACCTGCTCGTTCACCGGTTTATCCCATAAAAAAGACTGTTAGACTATGGGCCTCTTGACTTAAAAAAAATTATACATAGCAAGCGCGATGGAGATCGCCATTGAAAAAAAAGTCAGGTATATTAATGCTGTGCTGCCCAGCGTGCCCTATATTTCTCACTAACCAAATATTAAAAAAAAACATCACCGTTTTATAATAATTTATCAATTCTAATACCCAGTGGCCAGTAACTACCAAAGTTCCGCATAACTCACAGTCAACGAAAAGTGTAATCAAAAAACGTTCAAACGCGTGACCTTACGATTGCCTGCATGTCTTTTACTTCCTATTTATAGTACCTACAGTATACAGGAATAGTATATAAAGAGAATTTGTAACACTGATTAATCATTCGCAGTTTACTTGTGGAACAATAACTAAATACAATGGCAGCTAAGGTTTGTTTCTATATTTCTTTGTTTGGTTATTTAAAGTGATTGAGTAGGAGTGAAATGTACGTTTTGTAAGGATTTTATATGGATCAGGATTTGTATACCACTTTTCTTGAGAGTTTTTTACGCTGAGAACCAACAACCACAACCACAGGAACTCTGGAATATCAATTATTCACTCTTTTTCAATGTTAGTTTTGCAAATGCTATCCTTTTTTTACTAAACATGGTGGCACAGTAATTCTCCAAAATTTGAATAAAAAGCATTATTGTGGAAAATATTGAATTTTAGTCATTTTTGGTAACCTATAATGATCAGATTGCATTCTGTAGCTATTATGCAGTTTTAATTTGTAAAACAATGCTATAATTCAATGCAATTTAATTAAATACTCGTTCATTTTATTCCAGTTCGTGATTGTTGCTCTGCTGGTGGCCGCTGCTCAGGGCAGCGCTATCCATGGCGCCGACTACACCAGCTTCTCATACGGAGTGTCCGACCCCCACACCGGTGACGTCAAGAGCCAGCACGAGACCCGCGTCGGAGACAGCGTGGTCGGCCAGTACTCGCTCCTCGACTCTGACGGCACAAAGCGCACCGTCGACTACGCTGCTGACGCTCACTCTGGATTCAACGCCGTCGTCCGCAAAGACCCCGCTCTCTACGCTCACGCCGCCCCCATCGTGGCTCACGCCGCTCCCGTCGCCTACGCCGCTCCCCTCGCCCACGGCTACGCCGCCGCTCCCCTCGCCCACGGATACGCCGCCGCTCCCTTGGCTCACGGATACTCCCATGGTGTTGCCACCTACGGTGCTGTCGCCGCTCCCCTGGCTCACGGTGCCGTCGTAGCTGCTCCCCTCGCCTACAATGCTGGAGTATACGGTGCTCATGGTGCCGTCGCCTACGGCGCTCACGGAGCTCATGGTATCTACGGTGCTCACGGTGCCCACGGACTCTATGGCGCTCACTTGTACTAAATAAACATGTGATAATATTTATTTATACTGAAACTCCAATAAATGATGCTGTGATCAAATAAAATAGTTCGAAATACGAATATTGTTGTTTAATTTAATACTTGTATTGTATTTAATGACACAGTGGTAACTTGTAAATATTATATTTCAATACTATCAGGTAACCTTATAAAACAAATTAGTTCATTCTATATTTTAGCAAAGTTTAATTTAAATTCAAAAGCAATCCAACTAGTGCAGGTTAATAACAGAAATTATAAAACAGAAGGTCTAACCGTATCCGTAGATTAAATAATATAATCAAGTAATATACCGAAACTAAAGTGCAAAAATCTAGTTCACCTTGAATGACTGTACATTGTACTACATAAATAATTATACTATTAGCAGACTAAATCTTGTAAATATACGGAAATTAAGTAGCGTGAATGGCAAGAAATGGTCCTATTACGCAAATTTTGGTCCTAATGTAAATAACACTTGTAAAACTGTGCTGGCTTAAGTACATGACTTAATTTTATCTCATTTCCTAATAGAGATAATATATGAGTAATTGAATACATTGCTTCGAATTAATAATATACAAAAATGAGTATTTGTTTACATTAAAAGCTCAAATTTTATAACTTGGCGTTAGAAGTGGAGTATTTATAGAATTTATAATTTAGTTTGATTTCTAATGTTTTAAATACCGTCATACTATTTCGATTATGATTTATCTGAAGATTGTGAGTTTAACTCTTACAAATTATGTATAATTTAGTTTAGTGTGTAAATCAAGGAAGTTTATCTAAACGTGAACAGTCGTAAGTCTATGTTTACAACAAGAACAGTAGGTCAGTTCCCTAGTAGCAAACACATCATTGAATTCCATGCCTTTTGTGCAACGCGTACGGATCGTTAATTTAATTATATCATTGTTACACTTTGTCTCTTGAGAATATGTCTGTATTTTGTAATGAGTCACGATTCTATTACTGAGAAAAAACTTTAGCTATTATTACATGGGATTCAAGTTCAATTCAAAGTAATTGATGGATTTCAAATGCACGATGTAATAACAGTGTAAAATATTTGCTGTCAGACCTTGTTACGTGTTTAATTTGAGTCTATCAATAAACTTCAAATCGATGTTCATCAATCTAACGAGTTTGTACGATGTGACAGCTGATGCTATGATGAGAATGGAATGAAATAAAAATATCAAAACTTCGTATTCATAATTTATTAGTCGTCTAAATCACAGATCAGTAACAGTCATTTCATCACCAGGCTAAACCAGCTCCAAGAGCCGGGGCACCAAGAGCCGGGGCACCATATGCTCCATGACCATGAGGAGCTGGATGCGCTACAGAGTTGGCATAACTGTGGGCAACACCGTGCGCATGAGGGTTGATTAGTCCGTGGGCGTGAGGGTTAGCGAGTCCGTGGGCCGCAGCTCCGTATCCACCATAGGCACCACCGTAAGCGCCACCGTAAGCTCCACCGTAAGCACCGTTGTAGGCTCCAGCGTAAGGTCCAGGGTAGGGGCGAGCAGCGTTGTGAACAATAGAGTGGGAGTAGTGAGAGACAGCAGGAGCTCCACGGTTGCCAAGATGACCAGCCAAGGGGCTGCCGTATCCGTTAGCATAACCAGGATACGCTAAGTTGCCAGCAAAACGGTTGGCACCGTACGCACCAGGGTGGGCAAGAGCACCAGGATGAGGAAGAGATCCAGGGTAGGGGAGAGCGCCAGGGTGGGCCAGAGCACCGGGGTGGGCGAATGCTCCAGGGTGGGCGAGTGCTCCAGGATGGGCGATGGCTCCAGGGTGAGCAAGAGCTCCAGGGTGGGCGAGAGCACCAGGATGAGGAAGAGCACCACGAGCAAGGGCACCTGGATAACCAAGAGCACCGGGGTGTGCTAGAGCGCCAGGATGAGGAAGTGCACCGGGATGAGGTACAGCAGCGGGGTGCGCAAGGGGACCAGCTCCAGCCAAAGGAGCAATAGGTGCGGGACGGACTGGGCCAGCAACAGGCGCCAATGGAGCTGGATGCGCTACAGGTCCATGTGCAGCTCCAGCTAGAGGAGCAAGAGGTCCAGACGGATGCACACCAACAGCAGGTTCCTTGCGGACAACAGCATTGAATCCAGTGGCGGCGTTAGCAGCATACTCGACAATCCTTTTGGTTCCATCTGATTCCAGAAGTGAGTATTTTCCAACGACGCTGTCACCGACGCGTTTCTCGTGCTGATCCTTGACGTCACCAGTGTTAGGGTCTGACACACCATAGGAGAAGCTTGAGTAACCACCGCTGCCGTAGACTGATGCTACGAACAGGGAAAGTACGATAAACTGGAACAAATAAAATAATTTATTAAGTTTGTGAATTTTGTCAAAAATACATAGTCTTGGGACTATGTATTTTTGATAAATTCGCTAGTATTTCACAAGGACCAATTTTATTTTTTCTCTATTGATATTTTTTTATATTTTACCTTAGCTGCCATGGTGGTATGTGTTCTTCTGTGACTTTGGGTTGTGAATGATTTAACCCCGTCAGTTCCAAATATTTATATTCACACGAAGTCTCCGCATTGTAGTTTTGGGGGTCATAGTTTGAAATCATTGCGTTCACATCTACTCTTAAATTTCGAAAGATTCTCTTTCAGAGGTTAATTAGGAACTGAAATGCCTATTATGTAAATTAATTTTGCACTTAGAACGGTAACATTGGCCTCGTTGATGAGTTAAATACATGTTTAGATGTCGATTTTCTTGTTCTTTATAAAGATGATATCATTTAATTTCAAGTTGTAGGTTTTAAAATTACAAGCATTATAATTATAGAGGCGTAAGTGGTGATTGAGAGGTATGGGAAAAAAGGTTGTATAGCATTATTAAGGGTTCCTATTATACTACCTCTACCGGTAAATAACGATATTAAAGGTGGTCTTAATCAAAATATTATTATTTATATTTACCATGTGAATCATTTCAATTGACAGCTACATATTAATTTTTAAAAACAAACGAATAGGATGCATTTTCACCAATGCGTTTTGAGTACCGTAATTAAATATTTATTGACTTCTTTAAGAAATACCTATGGGGGTGAGCCCATTGCCATATACCGAGCACAATTCCAGACTGCGTGCTAATACTGAGATGTTGTTAAAAACCTCAATAGGTAATACTTTGCCGGACCTGGGAATCGAACCCGAGATCCCTTGCCAGGCAGCCGCTCTTGCGACTACTCGGCCAAGGAGGCAGTTATACCTCCTCCTACCGATAGGGTAGGGTAAATTAAATTGTTTCAAAGATATATTAATCTGAAATATCGTGTGACGTCACTATGCGCACATTTTGTATCGCATAATGACGTAACGACCTCCCACTCCTAAAATTAACTCCATTTTATTTAATTATTGGAATTTTATACGAGAAAATAAAAAAATGCGTGTCTAACATTTTCCATTATATAACTGACGAACTAATTAGACTTTTAATTTTCATTTCCTGGCAACTACCCTATTGCATATAGTTAAATCCTAGTAAGTAAGTACATAGAAATTGTATGTGACTTTTAATTAAGTCATGTTTATATAATTTCACTTCGATACCAAAGTTGTACACTTCTTGTTAAGTATTTCTTAAATATCAAATAAGTTAACTCTTCCATTGAACGATTGGTTGTAAGCACGACTATGCGAATAACTTGGTTACGATTCTTGGACTCAGCAAAGATGTTTAGGTTTTCAAAAATTCTTAATAGTGTTACCTACGAAATATATGGAATTGCACTAGGTGTATGTACTGATGATAGTCTTTATTACGTGTGTTAAAGTGGGTATTGAATTTTGGCATACGGCTCCTCAATAATGCATTAATAGATTATTTATATTTATAAAATTATCTAGACACCACTCACAAACGATGAAGGAAAACATCGTTAAACCTGGGCTTACAATCTCTTATTGTAAGTTTGCAATCGCCAACCCGCATTGAGTAAGCGTGGTGATTAATGCTCAACTCTCCGTGTGAGAAGAGGTTTTTTTAGCAGTGGACATTTATAGGGTGTTGATGATGATGATGATGATGCTATTAAATTTTGAAAAATGATTTCATGGTTAAATAAGTTATTAAATACTATTATTTATTGTAGATACGACTGCCTCGTTGGCCGAGTGGTCGCAAGTGTGACTGCCGGGAAAGGGGTGTCGGTTTCGACTCCTAGATAGGACAAAGTATTGCTGGGCTTTTTTTAATCTCAGTAGTAGCACGGAGTCTGGAATTGTGCCCGGTATATGGCAATAGGCTCACCCCCTATTACATGGGACTCATAACATAAATAGTTAAAAGTGGATGTTAAATTGTACAGTGGCATTAAGTGCCGTAATGTGCACCACTGCATACCCCTTCGATGATAAAAGGTGTGTTGTACATATATAAATTTTAAAATATTATTAAGATTACTACTAGTATTACTATAGACTACATAAAATTTGATAAAAATCAGGACCTTGTGCTCACTACTTAACTAAAGCAGATATTTTGGAATTCTATTACAAATATGTTAGAACTACATAAAGATGATACTATCAGTACTGATAAAGAAACAATTAGCCATAAATTATATTGTGCCATATCCATTAAAACACTTCAAAAGGTGATTTACATACACTATCGTAGGTCAGAACTTATTTTTCAAATGTTTCCGGCCAAAATGATTGCGTACGCGCTGAAGATTATGAAAACTACCTATATAAAGGCCAGGAGGATTCAAAAACATCAGTATCTGTGTAAACAATACCAAACAATGTTCTCAAAGGTAATTGAGCAAACTTAGAACTACAAAGAACAATTTGGTTGATAATTTAAAATATCCCAGTACTTGGGAAAAATATGTTTTCGTTGTCGAGTTCTTGCCTAATATCGTCTAATTAGTATGAATTATCAACGTTCTCAGCTGTAGTTGATTCTCATTCGCTTGCTAGATTTTGATTTGGTTCAGTGATTTTTTTTCTGATAAGAATTTCGGTTTATTTATAGTGCGCGTGTGAATTTGGTCCGTAGTTTTTTTGAAGACACCGTGGGTGGTGACAATTCGTGTGTATTTTATGACGAAACTGATAACAGTGTATTTTATTTTGAATTATATATAAAATTCATCATTCATCAGTATCTTCAAAATAACATGGGCGTTATTCTAAGAATACTAGATATTTGTTACTAAAATCTTAAAACCTTAGTCAAATCACGATAAAAGCTTGAATGATTTTATGACCTGATTTAAACCAGTTCTATGATAAGACAATTATTCAATTCCGATGTCATGATTGTGATTAAGTTATAAATAAATTCTTGATAGTTTAGTCATTTATGGCTTTCGAAATTACTGTCGACATTCATCGCTTTAGAATTATTTATGGTGAATTTGTAAATATTTTTTTTTTCACAGTTCGCTTTCGTCGTCCTTTTGGTGGCTGTTGCTCGCTGCAGTGCTTCAGGGGGAACCTCAAGCTTCTCCTATGGAGTATCAGATCCCAACACTGGAGATATCAAGGACCAACACGAAAAACGAGTAGGAGACAGTGTTGTTGGAAAATACTCCTTGCTGGAGGCTGACGGAACCAAACGTACCGTTGAATATTCCTCTCATCCTCACACTGGATTCAATGCTGTAGTCCGAAAGGACCCTCCTCACGGTGTCCACCCATCATCTGCAGTAGGATACAATGGTGTTGCTTCGGCCCTTGGTGGCCTAGGATATGCTGGAGCCAATCCTTTGGCATATGGAGGCCTGAACGCGTGGAACCCTGCCGCTAAATCAGCCTATGCTGGCAGTCCTTACATCGGGGCTTATGGTGGATACAACGGCGCTAACAATGGCTGGACTCAGAACTATGCTGCCAATGTTGGAGCCAATGGATGGCCAAACAACTATGGTGCCGCTGGAGTATATGGTGGTAATGGATACGGATGGTCTACCACCTCTGTCACCTCTTGGCCAAATAACGCTGCTGCTAACGCTTGGCCTAGCAGCGTAGGAACCAATATTGGTGCTAAAGCTTGGCCTAGCAACGTAGGAGCCAATCTTGGTGCTAACGCATGGCCTAGCAACGTAGGAGCCAATCTGGGTGCCAATGTGTGGCCTAGTGCAGCAGCCGGTGTTGGTGTCTATGGCAATGCCAATGGAGTCTATGGTGCTAACGGATGGCCCCAAGGTTATGGAGCAGCCGGGTATGCTGCCTATGGTAACCGTCTGGGATGGTAAATTATTACTTGATTAAAATTGGCGTTAAATTATTCTGGACTTGGCAGTGTTTCCCTGCAACTAGTTACGATTGTGTAATTGTTTGATCTCTTGTGGCAATTAAAATAAATGGAAAACAAAAAAAAGGTTGTATATTTTAGCTTATGTACCCGTATAAATGTATGTGACATATTTTACTGATCATAATTTTATAAGGAAGGAATATAACTAAATATAATCTAAAGCTAGTTCAAAGAGGACAATGTTCTTAAATCTTAATTGACTAATTTTACAACGGTATCAAGAGCCCATTAAGTCATAAAGCATAGGAGTGATACAAGACCGCTATTTATAATTAGTACAATTATAACACATTTGAAATGTACATTTTCGGCAATTATTGCTTCCTGGTTGACCAGTTTTCTGAATTTGTCTTGCAAAAAATTGCTTACAAATTGCCGTTACGCTTAAATATCTTATCATTATTTATGTTGTACCAGAATTAGAGAAACAGTAGTCAAAAATAAACTTAGTTACTTTATTTTAAAAGTCAAAATTGCATGTGTATTGAACTGAACTTAGAATTCCTTGCATGTTAATAATCTTGTTAAAATTTTGATCACATAATCCAGGTGACGGCCATTTTATTTTTGAAGACGGCTTGGAAACAATTGAATGTGTGTAGTTAGTTACTAGATTATGATAGTTTCTTTGATGCAAAAAATACGAAGACAAGATACATCAGTACACGTGCGTAGCGGCACGGACCTACGGACGGCGAGCATGGGTGGTTCGCCGCCCGACCAGAACCAGACCCGAGCGTATGGCGCATCGCGTTCCTTGCGCGCCTCAAAGAGCCATCAGACCACCACAGATGGGACCCAATAGGGCTGATGCCGATACGGAGCCGCGGAGACATTAACGGGTGACCGAGGCTCCAGCTCGAAGTGCGGGAAGAACAGGGTGGTTTTAAGTCAGTAAGAGTTTGACACTCCCTCCCGCCTCGCCTACGCGGGAGAAGACGTTAGATGATTTTCCCCCATTAAAAAAAATGCGCGTGTAGCTATTTAAGTAAAACTTTGCACTTACAATCTCCTCTACGCTTCGGCATCAGAAAGAATGAAAGCGAACAGTTAATGAATACACTATGTATTAAACTGTCAATAATTCTACAATATTTCAAGTAAGAAAGCAGTACTTGCATATAAATTATATAAATATTGTAAGCATCGCGTGGAGATTGCCTTGAAGTGCGAATGTAGAACAAACTCATAATGATACAGATCTTGTATCTACGTCGTTTGTAATCAAGTTTATAGTTCTTAGTGTTTTTGGAATTTACTATAGAAGAATACATTAATTGACTCATATTGTTAAGACTTGGTTAAGACAATGGGCGAGTGTCAACCTAAAATGTGGATTTATCCTAATATGATTCTCAAAGGAGGCAAGTATTGTAACACATGTTAAATGTAGCACCAATTTATGTTATTTTATGAATCCCACATAACAATGAGCCTTATTGGCCTTTATTTTATAACTATTTTAAAATTTTGAAAATCTAAAGGATGAATGATAATTTTGCGCATGGTAAAATAATTGATAGTTGTTAGAAGAAACTGTGACGCATGCGTGGTCTATGATAAATTGATATTTATTTTCCGCAACTCCATATAAGAATTTAAGGAAACGTCACAATATGATTATAATAATTAAATTGTTTACACTTAGGTGTACCACAATACACGCAAACATACATACACATGCATACTGCACGATATCAAAACAATGAACTAAAAAAAATTTTGATGAGCCTATGGATCTTACAGCCAAAAAGTTTTAACAAGCAAAAAACAATCAAGCCAGCAAGAATAATTGCTACACAAATTGAAATGAGCAAACAAAAAGAAAGAAAACAATCTAGGAAGTTCGAAATTTAAAAAACGAAAACCGTCAGAAACGTGCACAGAAAAGAAAAAAAACGCGCCACAGATTAACAAAGCCAATGATGCGTGTGAGATGCAATCTTGAGTGCTGCGGACCATTTCTCCGACGTCAGTACAAATTCTCATCAGTGACCTTGCCCTTCCGGATCCGTCGGCATCACAAAGACTATTTATTATTCTTGTCGTACGTTGTTGGAGTTCCGTCGGTTGCTTTGTGTTTTACGAAATAGTTTAATAATATGAGATTTTTATATATGTTTTTTAATCTTAACTAATAATTTTATTAAGACCAATATTTTTGAGTCTAGAAAAGATCCATTGGGTACTTTCCTTAATCAAAAATAAATTATTTCGCCTGTTCAATACAATAAAATCTTAAAAAATATTCACACTTTCACTAATTGATTCTATGACCATTTTAATTTCTGTAATTTTTCCAATATTTTTTTAAGAAATAAGTACGCTGTTTGACGCTAAAAACACGTGACGTCACAAAACAAACACGATACACAATCTCCTATAGTTCCAACAGTTCGAAAAATGTATTGAATTTGACTAGTTGGCAAGTATCCAATTGTAAATTAATGCATCTTATCGCCGTTCTAACACTATTTCGATTAGCCCTCTGTAATTATAAAAGGATAAAACTAAATGTGTTCAGTTCAGTGCCAGTTTATTTACCGAAAACTTGTCTACGACATTTGGAGCTGGTCTTTAACGAATTAAAATAATAACAGACCTACAACTTTACCAATAACAGATAAGAAAATCTAGTTCTAATTTATAAACACATAATAATTCTACAAACGGAACCCGGTCGCGGCTAAGAAAATGCACTTGCCTTAATTTTAAAGATCAACTGGTAATCATAGTCGTCCGCCACGCCCTCGCGTTGTGAAGCTCATATAAAAGCTCCTAGCGAACTCAACGAGTATCAGTCAACGAGTGGAAATTCTCAATCTATCGCAATGGCCGCTAAGGTGACTATTTTAATAATATCTAGTGAAGTGATATAAGGTTTAGTGATTTCTAGAAATATTTCGATAAACGGATTTTTTCAAAGTGCCATAATTATCATGTCTCAATTTTTTATTCGTAACTCTCTACTTTCTTTTCCCTTGTCTAAGATTATTTTTAATTCATAACTTCAAAATAATGTAAAATTTAAGATCTAATTAATGGGCTTGTTGTGATCTCAACGAGTCAATATTCATGGCTCAAATGTCTAGATAACCTTTATGTTGGTTTTCAATCGGATTGAAAACTCATCAGTAAACAATCATATTATGATTTTTAGCTTCTTAGGTTTCTTCTTAGGTTCTATTAACCTATATTGTTACCTTCATTTAATAAAAATCCTTCTTTCCAGTTCGTCGTAGTTCTCGCCCTCGTGGCTGCAGCTCACTGCTCCGTGGTGCCAGTGGCGCGAGTAGACGCCGACTACACCAGCTTCGCATACGACGTGGCCGACCCCAACACCGGCGACTTCAAAAGCCAGGTGGAGACCCGCGTGGGCGGCAACGTGGCCGGCCAGTACTCGCTGCTTGACGCTGACGGCACCAAGCGCACCGTGGACTACACCGCTGACGATGTCAATGGATTCAATGCTGTAGTGCGCAAGGACCCCGCTGTAGTGGCTGCTGCTCCTGCTGTAGTAGCTGCCGCTCCCGCGGTAGTGGCTGCCCGTACTGTGGCTGCCCCAGCAGCTGTCGTCGCTGCATCACCTGCAGTTGTTGCTGCTCGCACTGTCGCTGGTCCCGCAGTAGTCACACGTACTTATGCCGCAGCCCCCGCATACTATGCAGCCCGCTCTTACGCCGCTCCTGCCGTCTATGCTGCCAGTGCTCCCGTTGTAGCCGCGCGCACCGTTGCTGCTCCTGTTGCATACACCGCTGGTGCCCGCCTTGCCTATACCGCTGGTGCTCCAGTTGCCTACACAGCTAGTGCTCCAGTAGCCTACGCTGCCGGTGCGCGTTTCATCGCTCCCTCTGTGTACGCCGCCCGCGTGGCTGCCGCCCCCGCCGTGTACTCTGGTGCCGCCTACTACGGATCTCCTCTGACCTATGCCGCCTACTCCGCTCCAATCTCGTATTGGTAAACACGATAGCCTTTTAAGGCTCCACTGCGATTGAATACGACTTGTTCGATTATATTGGACGACATGTAAATATTGTTGCTAGTTTGTACAATGTACATACATCCATGTATAAAATAAACCGAATATTTTAAAGTAACCCGTCTGTGTTTAATTTATTTATTTCGAATTGTGTCACGTCTTAACTATAGAGGTACAGGAGCTATGGACGTGAAGTAAATATAGAGCGTTCTTCAAAAGCGTATGGCCTTGAATAAATTTATGGATGCGCCTACATCATTATTCTGGATATCAATTCCGAATTCAGGATGACATAGAAAACCAATTATAATATAGATGCTAGAAATATGTCGTAATTTTTTCCAAGTGCTTTAAAATGTAACAAAGTTCTAATAAAGTTCTAGTGCAACTAAGTTTCTCATGTAAATATTAAAGTCTTTAAAGTGCTTCTCCTCTTCGTAATATAGTAAAATCAGAGCAAGTTACTGAAACTAATTTATTAGACCTATTTATTGTGTTGTCCCATAGCTCGGTAGATGGCTTTGGCCAATTTAAATTCAAGTTATGGTTTCGTTACCGGCAAAACATTAGGTTGTTTGCGTAAATAAATTGTCTTACTCTGAGGTACTTCGTATCATTCAAGTACTAGGCTTCAAAGGACTTTCGGTCGATAATGTAAAAACCACATGAATGCAAAGTAAGTATATGACTCAGTAGTCAGTCGAAATCTGACTGGACTGGTGATCGCTTAAGGAAGCCATTGCAAATGTGAATAATGTAGTAACTAATCTTTAAGGTGTAGTATGAACTTCAGATAATAAATAATATATTGGGCGTATGGAATAGACATGAAATAAATCAAATATGTAAAACAAGTAAGATGTTCAAAGTCGTAAAATTGAATAATAGAAAATCAAAACATAACATTCCTTTTTCAATACATTGAGCAAAGGCAAAAATAACTTGCAACAATTTACCTACATTTATCCCAAAAAGTTCAAAGCTGACAGAGTCGTTGGTCCCCTGTCACCACACTGTCTTATCTTTTACAGATGTCTAAAAAGAAAAGATGTCTGCAAAGACATAGAGGTAATATATTTAACCTTCATTCGGGAAACGACGCAAACATTTTCTTGCGGGTAAAAGCTAATTTGCAGTGTTTGAAACAAAACCTGTGTGTCGTGGTAGCCCGGAGGTTTAAGACGCCTTCTTCTCATGCATGAGGGTGCAGGTTCGAAACCTACCAACGGCAAGTACCAATGTGACTTTTTCCGAGTTAGTTATATGTACTTTCTAAGATTATTTAGACACCACTGACAAACGGTGAAGGAAAAACATCGTGAGGAAACCTGGATTTATAATTTCTAATTATAAGTTTGAAATCACCAACCCGCATTGAGCAAGCGTGGTGATTAATGCTCAAACCTTCTCCGTGTGAGAGGAGGCTTTGCTCAGCAGTGGGCATTTATAGGCTGTTGATAATGATGATGATGAAACAAAAACATCTGGTATGATACTAGTGAAGCCACATAGTGATGGACGGCAGATCATTAACCATCACTCCTAATCTTCAAGCAGATGTCGTAGGAACTCATTAGGATATTACACATGGACCGAGAACAGAGACAGGCTAACAACAGTCAACATGAACTTTTTAGAATGCGCTCTATAAACCACCTTTACCAAGCATGGAGACTGGCAAACCCTCTCATGTAAAAGATGCACTTAGTTCAACAATGTACCATCCCATATCATTGACGATAGATGATGATAGTTTAAAACATCACACATCATATTTTCTAAAGAGAAGACAGCACCTCTTTCAATAAACATACATAGTAATATTATAAGTTCGCATACACTCAGTCCCCGGCTATCCTACGGAACACCCTACAAAAATTCCAAAAATTTTTTTTGTCGCATATGCCGGGTAAACTAGCAGACGGATCACCTAATGGTAAACAATCGGCGTCGCCCATGGACACCTGGTACACCAGAGGCGTTACAAGTGCGTTATCGGCTTTTTGAGGATTAGGAGTTTGAGGATCGTTGGGGATTCAGGGATTGGGGAAATTGGGGAAGGGGAGGGTAATTGGGCCTCCGGTAACCACACTCACACGACGAAATACAACGCAACCGTTGCTTCACGTCGGTTTTCTGTGAGGCCGTGGTATCACTTCGGTCCAGCCGGCCCATTCGTGCCGAAGCATGGCTCTCTCAGACTAAAATAAGAAAACTATCACTATAAAAGTAATATTTAGTGCAAATTTATTTGACATAGACATACAGTAGTAGCACGGAGTCTGGAATTGTGCCCGGTATATGGCAATAGGCTCACCTCCTATTACATAGGACTCATAACATAAATGGTGAAAAGTGGGTGTTACATTGTACAGTGGCATAATGTGCACCTCTGCCTACCCCTTCGGAGATAAAAGGCGTGATGTTATGTATGTATGTAGGTATGTATTTATTTGACTTTTTCACTTTAAGGTGTCTTATATTCATGGCGATACATAAAATGGACGCGGCAGGCGAACTTATATAACAATAAGTCATAGTTCATTATATGAATTAAAACCATACAATTTCGATAGTACTTTCTGTAAAACTAAAACAATTACGCTGAGTATTACTTCATTCTTTCAGATAATTGTGTCAAAGAATCAGGTAAAAGCCTATAGTCGTAAACTGAAGCCTAATTTATACTGGACCTAAAATTAGTTTCCAGCCAGACTTGATTGAAAGACTTTGACCTTGAGAGAACGGTTCAAGAATAAAATCCTTAAAATCTCTAATAAAACCAGCATATTACAATGAATCAAACTTTTTTTGTGTTCCCCAATATTGGGAGCCGAACTTTTTAATACAATAAACATGTTGAGTGTGACTCTAGTTTCATTGAGGTTCAGCTACTATCAATAATTATACAAAGAGAAATTCTCAATAATGCTTTCCCTGACCCTAGAATAGAACGAAACACCCCTTTATGAACAGAAGCGGTTAAATGTTTTTTGGGTTGCAAACGAACAAAAAGATCAGCTTTTGGTAAATGAGCAACCGTCAAATCAATAACACTATAATATTCTCAAGAAGACATACATAAATAGGTATTAATATTCAAAGGTGTTTTATTAAAACTGAGATATTTACAATATAAGGAAAAGAAAAAATAAATAAATATGTACAACTTAAGATACACTATATCTAAAAGATAAAAATTAAATAAAAGAAAAATAAATTTATACAATTGAATTTATTTCAGCTAAACTTTTTTAAATTAACAAACTGATTGGCTAAATACTTTTTTTACCTGTTGATGCGGTTGAATCTACGATAAACCACTGGCATAATATCTGAAAGCTCAACATAATTCGCGCTAAATGAGAACTTAATTACCAAAAGTATTATTTGAATTCTAGTAACATTTTGTTTATCGTCTCACCCGAAACTTGTTCTAATTGCGACAAGTTGGTCACGTCATCATAATCCGGCCTATATCTCAAGTTCGTCAAGTGACCGCGCGTCGGCGGCAGGACAGCAGTATATAAGCTCGCTCGGTATGTGCAGCGTATCATTCGATCAGTGAAGTACTTCAGGATCAGCAATGGCAGCCAAGGTAGGTTGTCTGCTCTATATTTGTATTGTTTGATGTTCATGTGAAACAACTCTTCAATGTTTTTCTACAGTGAATTCGAATAATTGGTCAACGTACTAGTTTTATGTCATTCATGTATTTTAGATTCTGTGTTCCTATTTTCAAATTGAATTTGTTTGGGAAACAAATAAAACTGTATTTTGTTCTGTATTTTAATCGCCACTTTTATTTCAGTTCGTAGTTCTCGCCGCCCTAGTGGCCATGGCTCACTGCTCCGTGGTGCCAGTGGCGCGAGTAGACGCCGACTACACCAGCTTCGCATACGACGTGGCCGACCCCAACACCGGCGACTTCAAGAGCCAGGTGGAGACCCGCGTGGGCGGCAACGTGGCCGGCCAGTACTCGCTGCTTGACGCTGACGGCACCAAGCGCACCGTGGACTACACCGCTGACGATGTCAATGGATTTAACGCTGTGGTGCGCAAGGACCCCGCTGTAGTAGCTTCCGTGGTGGCCGCGCCCGTGGTGGCTGCCCCCGCTGTGGCCGCGCCCGCTGTTATCGCTGCCCGCACTGTGGCCGCTCCCGCTGTCTACGCCGCTCACGCCGCTCCCGCTGTCTACGCCGCTCACGCCGCCCCCGCCGTGTACGCCGCTCACTCCGCTCCCGTCTACGCCGCTCCCTCTTTCTACTCGTACGGTGCTCCCGCCCTATACTCCGCTCCCCTCACTTACGCCGCTAAGTGGTAAACAACGACGCGTGTTGTGTTGCGATGTGGTGCTGCCTTGTAAATAAATTATGTTAAGTAAAATGTGAAACTACCTTATTTTGTTGTTTTCATTTTTCAAAAGTTGTACACAATACGTACAATAAATTACATTAGTTGATTAAAATATGAAGAATAATTACTGTGCTATAAATCATAATATACTGCCGATTAGTAAACTCTGCCGAAATTGAGATAAATAAGTCAAATTGCTAGTTACAATTTTTAATGTTAGTGACAAGATAAGCCGAAACACGAATTCTTTTCCATTTTAATCAGACCAATGTTTTGATTGAGACCTTCACAATAAATAAAAAGAATCATTTATGTATTATTCGTTAAGATTCAGTTTCAACCTTGTCATGATACGTCTTTCATCGGGAAATAAGTTTTATCTTCCTTTGATATTGATAGTTATAATTAAAATAAAGATCAACTGCCGGACGTGAGGGAGTTATGACGACAACTACAATCATTATTTACTTATTCAGTGCAAGTGGTTAAACTGGTTTCATTGATTTTTTTAAGCTACTGTTGTTGTGCCGTATGATCGACCCTTAGGCCACAACTTCATTTATTGTATGTTGCTTATTTAGGGCTACTTTTTCTAATTTATATTCTTTGGGGACATTTGTTTTATATTTGAAATTAACGGCTAATTTTCGTGATGTAAATGACAAAGGCTTTACTAGTTTTCAGTCAGAACGGAACTTTCACTAATGTGAATAGCAAAACCAATCTAGTTAGTATGCCTCACGATAGTTTTTTTTATACAAAAACTTTTTTTTATATTAAGCCGTTACGTAACACTGTAGATACCAGTGGTTCGACACTATCATACCTAAAAGAAAGCGGTGATACGGTGTACGATAGAGAATACCTGTCCATAAGTAACCTATTCATTTGAGTCTTGATAACAACCAAACTATGCCCGTCAGGAAATATAAATCCTAGTGGTAGACTGTCTTTCTTCAGAGAAAAATGGAAATGAATATAAAATATCGTCTAGCTAGTTCAATATGCTGAAAAATATACAAAGATACTCATTCGTATTTTGATCGTATTTTTTCTTTCATCATAACATCACGCCTTTTATCCGCGAAGGTGTATGCAGTGGAGCACATTACGTCATTTAATGCCACTGTACAATGTAACACTCACTTTTCACTATTTATGTTATGAGGCCCATGTAATAGGGGGTGAACCTATTGCCATATACCGTCACGGAGAACCTAACGGGTAACCGGGGCTCCGGCTCGACGTGCAGGAGAAGGAACGGGGTAGTTTTTAGTCAGTAAGAGTCTGCACTCCCTTCCGCCTCACCCAGGCGGGAGCAGTCTTACGATGATTTTCCACCCTTAAAAAAAAATGCCATATACCGGGCACAATTCCAGACTCCGTGCTACTACTGAGATATTTTGTTTAAATACCTAGTAATATATTGGCCGACCCGGGAATCGAACCCAAGACTCCTTGCACATCAGTCGCACTTGTGATAACACGGCCTACGAGGCAGTCTTTTTCTTATTAGTCAGTACTTTATCTTAAAATATCAATAAACTAGCGACCCGCCCTGGCTTCGCACGGGTGCAATAAGCATGTATTATACATATAAACCTTTCTTAACAATCACTCTATCTATTAAAAAAACCGCATCAAAATCTGTTGTGTAGTTTTAAAGATTTAAGCATACATAGGGACAGATAAACGGCGGATAGCGACTTTGTTTTATACTATGTAGTGAAGGTTCACGTTTCTTGATAATCATTTATATACGTAACTTACCACATAATTACTGGAAGTACAAAACAAGATTCCGGTGGTAGGTGTAGTACGTTTGTCGTAGAGGTCGGTCAATCACAGTAGAACGCGTCGGCCAGTCTGCTTCCTTGTATAACTCATGTACATATTTTTATGTAAGCTTTGTACCTACTATCATTCGAATATGTTTCGCCTATAATGTCCTGGAATGTAACTGCTGGAATAAATAAGTGACCTCAATCCAAATTCTATGGATTTTTGATATTTTGTATAAATTTCGATTAATTGAAAAATCGATTGACAAATTCGGCGATGAACGATAATTTTAATTTATTGTTGAGAATATAATTATAGGTTATTTGGTTTACCTATGTTATCAGTAATCTTATCAGGTGCATAAAAAAGTTATGAGAATCAGAATCATTTTCTGTGGTTCTCTAAAGTCCAAAAGACAGGAGCCACAAAGGATCTTGATTGTTTATTAAGTGACTATACATGCATTAATTGCATCTGCAGCACGAATAAGAAATTTGGAAAATCAAAACAAAAAAATTAGGTAGTTTCACTTTTTACTTAAAATAATTTATTTACAAGGCAGCACCACATCGCAACACAACACGCGCCATTGTTTACCACTTAGCGGCGTAAGTGAGGGGAGCGGAGTACAGAGCGGGAGCACCGTACGAGTAGAAAGAGGGAGCGGCGTAGACGGGAGCGGAGTGAGCGGCGTACACGGCGGGGGCGGCGTGAGCGGCGTAGACAGCAGGAGCAGCGTGAGCGGCGTAGACAGCAGGAGCAGCGTGAGCGGCGTAGACAGCAGGAGCGGCCACAGTGCGGGCTGCGATAACAGCGGGCGCAGCCACAGCGGGGGCAGCCACCACGGGCGCGGCCACCACGGAAGCCACTACAGCGGGGTCCTTGCGCACCACAGCGTTAAATCCATTGACATCGTCAGCGGTGTAGTCCACGGTGCGCTTGGTGCCGTCAGCGTCAAGCAGCGAGTACTGGCCGGCCACGTTGCCGCCCACGCGGGTCTCCACCTGGCTCTTGAAGTCACCGGTGTTGGGGTCGGCCACGTCGTATGCGAAGCTGGTGTAGTCGGCGTCTACTCGCGCCACTGGCACCACGGAGCAGTGAGCCATGGCCACTAGGGCCGCGAGAACTACGAACTGAAACAAAAGGAATGATTAAAATACAGAAATAATACCTACAGCTTTTTTCTTTCTCAAAGAAGTTTAAACTGTCAAACACCGCGAGGACACCGGTGACCGCAACCTATTGTTCTTTAATTGTGTCTATAATGACGGTACTCAACGAGTTAATTTGTAACTGGGAGCACAAAATTTAAAATTGTTACAAATGAATAAAAAAAGTAGGACGTTGACCAAAGAGTTATTTTCTAAGGTGTCCAGGCCATCTCACATGAACATCAAACAATACAAATATAGAGCAGACAACCTACCTTGGCTGCCATTGCTGATCCTGAAGTACTTCACTGATCGAATGATACACTGCACATACCGAGCGAGCTTATATACTGCTGTCCTGCCGCCGACGCGCGGTCACTTGACGAACTTGAGATATAGGCCGGATTCTGACGAATGAGATAGGGTCGCCATATTTGGAAACTACCAAAGTGGGCGAAAGCATAACACGAGTAGAACAATAGATGAAATGTACGTTTTATAGTCCAGTCGTGTACTTGTATAGTCGTTACTTTTGGATTTACTTACATGATTTTATATTTTAACATGATTGTTTCGAAAGATTAGGTACCTATTTATAATTCTACACGGAGTAAAATACATTTACCTATGTAACTTTGGCAGTCTCTTTTGGGTTTTGTAACTATGTAGTTCAAAAAGGCAAAAGTTGTCCAACTAAGTTCATATGTATATATTATAAATTATCTACATAAATTGAAGATACTTACCAAGCTTTCTACTTGTATAAATTTTATTCTAGAACAGACAATATCATAGTCAATAACTTTAATTACATAAGCAATAGGAGTATCTAATAACTTATTATTAGATATTTCAAATTAACTAAAAATGGCGGGTTACTTACGTGAAAAGACTGACAAAAGCTCTATTAGTTTCGAACCACAGAGGGGTTCTACGCGCAGCCATAGTCCACTTTTGAACAAATTTTTTATTTTTGGTCAGCCCTACTGGCCAAGTACAGTAATAAATTCCTTAAAAAAAATTGGTGTATTTGAATATTTTAACACCTACTGATATTACCAGTTCATTACAAACACAAGCGGGGAGGAGTCGATTTGTAAAAAATGGCTCTTATGGTAATCATTATTTATAACTACATATTAATTTATGTTCAATGTTTTACCCACTGACTCAGCAAGATATTCAAACTCTTTATTAAATTTTAAAGTATTACTGGGTTTTAAACAAATTCTCAGCAGCACGGAGTCTGGATTTGTGCCCGGTATATGGCAATAGGCTCACCCCCTATTACATGGGACTCATAACATAAATAGTGAAAAGTGTGTTACATTATACAGTGGCTTTAAAGCCATAATATGCACCTCTGCTTACCCCTTCGGGGATAAAAGGCGAGATGTTATGTTATGTATTAGATTCTCAACTGAATTACATAATTTTAAAGTTGAAACTGTATCAAATAATTTTGACAAATAGCGTAGGTTGATACGCTGGTCTATCTTTACTATGTACCAAGATTCTTTCAAGTTTTCCTTATAATTAGTAAAAAAAATGCAATTAAACTTATTTAATTTGATTTTGTTTAATAGCATTTTTTACATCGCATCGGCTTGTAAATGTCAAAATAGAAACTGGGTCAGTTGTGATGAATTTGGGTTCAGCGTAAATAAGACCATTAAAATATATTAAACATTATAAGATAACTATAATTTTAGAAGAAATAAAATGAATTCTGTAAAGAAAAGCTTTTTTCTCAAATCCGTTGTATAACTCAACCATGAACATTTCTTTATCCAAAAAGGCCAAAGATCAATTAAGTTACATTACTCGTCCCTAGAATTGATTAGTTATTTCCAATGATCTTAAAATTAATGATAAAAGACTCCTATTTCTTGGGATTCATAACATAAATAGTGAATAGTGAAAAGTGGCTGCCTATCGCTTCGGGGGTCAAAGGCGGTATGTTATTATATGTCTAAGAAATAAAAGATTATAATTTTAGCACTCTATTCCTCAATCGAATAACAATAACTTATTGAATAATCGTCAATGCAACTGCCTCCATTTAACACAAATGTATATCAATGGAAATTCGACACATTATGTCCCAGTCATCCGTCTCGTGACATTTCCTGAGTACTCGAATTAACTATACTAGTTTCCGCGTCTCGCTTCGTTACATTACATGGTCTCAATTTCACAGCAGCCATCCTTGAAAGTAAGTAATATTTATCGATACATTTGCCCCACAAGAATGCGACCACTTCATTTCTTTTTAAACCTTTAAAGTTGTTCACAATTCATTTTCCATAATTCTTCATCTTTTTTATTCATCCTGTGTATTGGGATCAGCCTTTAGGAATGTGTTTAAATAAGTTGTCGTATGAATTTACGCTAAAGGTTATAATACTATGTCCTTTCTTTTACTTAAATACTAACTATACATTGATATGTTAGCATGGTTCTATGTTAGATCGCTCAGCCAGGTAACGACTATTAAAATCAATAAATAGGATGATGACAGGGTATGAAAATTAAAAATTTGGTCCGTAAGTTAAGAAATGAAAAATCATTAGACACATATTTTTTTATTTTGTTGTATATTAAAAAAATAATTAAATAAAACAAATCAAAGTTTAGGAGTGGGCGCTAAAACGTCATTTCTAAATATAAAATGTACATAGAAGTGACGTCTTGTAACATTTCAAATCAATATATTGTCGAAATTATTCGTTTCTGTAAGAAAATAAAAAATACGTGTCATCTACCCTATTGGCATCGTGGCATCTACCCTATTATACGAATTGTCAAGCAGCTTTCCTAGATGTATGCAAAACCGAACTAAAAACATAACTTGATTAATAACCAAACAGGAATAGATCCTGCAACCTTGATATTAAATCCGCAACTCTTTTGCGCAGTTCGAAACATCCTAGAAGGAATCTAGACTGTATTGCCTGCGGCTTACATATTTTAGAGTGATACTTCCGATATATACAAATAAAGATACATTTATTTATAACTAAATAAAATAATAATAAATAAATGACATAAATATTGACAAGCAAACATTCTACAAAAAATCTAATTGTACAAACAAAGTACCTGGGTGTCTTCAAGGCCCGAGTGAATAGGTTCCTTATGGGCAAACGTACTGCAAGGACAGCCCTTAGGGCACGGTGGAATACACTGTAGCGGAATGCCCTGCGTTGCCTGAGCACCGCCGTGCCCTCAGGGAAGTGATCGGCGATGGCGACCTCTCGCGTCCGGGCCTAGTGCAGGCCATGATGCGGAGCGAGGGGGACTGGGATGCCGTCTCCTCCTTTTGCGAAGCAGTCATGCTAGCTAAGGAGGAGGCGGGACGCGTGAGGCAGCGAAGCGCTGCCTCCTCGCAATCCAGCCATCGCGAATTACACACCGGGCGTCGGGGATTGCAAGACAATCTCCGGCCACCGTAAGCGCGGGCCTGAGTCGCGTCCCGCGCGCGCCATCAGACCACCACAGATATGGCCCAATAGGGCCGATGCCGATTCGGAGTCGCGGAGAACCTAACGGGGAACCGGGGCTCCGGCTTGACATGCAGGAGAAGAAACGGGGTGGTTTTAGTCAGTAAGAGTCTGACACTCCCCCCGCCTCACCCAGGCGGGAGCTGCCATTCGATGATTTTTTCCCCCCTTAAAAAAAAATTGGGCAGACGAGCTCCATCATCGCTTCCACCAGGCGAGATAGTGGTCAAACGTCGGCCCATCAAATATCAAAAAACCCTACACATGAAATATTTCCTTAACCAATGACATTCGTAGCACTATATTAGTCTTGTGCTTAATAGTTCGCGACTAAGATCACTCAGATCAGTTCGCCGCTCCTAAACGAACTAGTTCGCTCTTTTAGTTCGTCAGCTCCCGACTCGCAGTTGGAGTTGGAATTGGAATGAATCGTATAGGAACTAGGAACGCACTGGCAGCCAAATCGCTCCCTAGTTCGTCAGCTCCCGACTCCCAGTTGGATTTGGAATTGGAATGAATCGGATAGGAACTAGGAAGGCACTGGCAGCCAAATCGCTCCCTAGTTCGTCAGCTCCCGACTCAGCTCATGACTTTTCAAGTGAGATCATATGTTATCGCATTTTTTAGTTCGGTCTTCACCATAGACTATACATATAAACGACTTCACAATCTTTGTACTTGTACTTTGAAATACGAACTAAGGAATTATGGAGTTGGGAATGACGTGAACTAGTTCGCATATTTTGAATGTGGGAGCGCTCTTTTGAACTAGTTCGTTCGCGAACTACACAAGCCTACACGATGTGTCAGGAATGAGCCTGAAAGAGTCGCACTGAACATTGAACATAATATTAATCTTAGTGAGTTCGGTAAATGTATGTATGTCCTTAGTAACACATCATCAAAGATGGGTAAAGTTTATAGATCAGTTTACTTAGCTATTTAGCGTAGATTATAAGTTAATAAGTCCATCCGCATAAGGCTGACATTGTCGTTTTTGATAAAACCCTTCATAATTAAAATAAGGGGTCTCGGGTTCGATTCCCGGGTCGTGTAAAGTATTACTGGGTTTTTATAAAGTCTCAGTAGTAGCACGGAAGTAAAACGTAGAACGACATTTTTAAAAACCAAATAATAGGTACTTTGCCCAACTCGGGAATCGAACCCGAGACCCCTTGGGAGGGTACTCACGTGAATATACAGAGAAAAGCTTTACTAGTTTCGAACCACTGTGGGGTTCTTCCTTATGAGCAGCGTGCGCGGTCACGGCGATGTCGCGCAGCCTACGGTAGATGTCAGAGAGTAGCCCGCAATATTAGTTAAAATGTCTTTTCATAAAATTAGTAATTCACTAATATTCACCATAAAATAATATTATGTACCTACGTAATATAATGATAATGAAAAATGTATAAGCCATTAGATCTTTTGCCCTTAAGCTAAATTATCTCAGAAACTGGTCCGAATCTACGCTTATCTTAATTGATCTTAAATGCACAGAACAGGTTAAGTGCGAGTCGAACTTAGAATTAAGGTTTCTTTTTATGTGGATTCCATTCGACATAAAAAGAAACCTTAATTCGAATCCATCAAATCTGATTATAATCATTGAATTTAGACTGCCTCGTTGGCCGAGTGGTTGTAAGTGCGACTGCCAGGCAAGAGGTCTCGGGTTCGATTCCGGGTCGGGCAAAGTATTACTGAGTTTTTAAATATTCTCAGTAGTAACACGGAGTCTGGAATTGTGCCCGGTATATGGCAATAGGCTCACCCCCTATTACATGGGACTCATAATATAAATAGTGAAAAGTGGGTGTTACATTGTACAGTGGTATAATGTGCACCTCTGCCTACCCCTTCTGGGATAAAAGGCGTGGTGTTATGTTATGTTATGAATTTAGATTATATACTAAACTAGCTGTGCCGGCAAACGTTGTTTTGCCATATAAATAATTACGTAGAAGGGTGTTAACTGTAAAATTGAGGATTGTATGTATTTTTGTATGTTGTATCATAAAAAAATAGAAATTAAAAATTTTGTCTTAAAAATAAAAAAATATAGGGGTAGTCCACCCCTATATTTTTTTATTTTTGTATAAAAATAAAAAAATATAGGGGTAGTCCACCCCTATATTTTTTTATTTTTGTATAAAAATAAAAAAATATAGGGGTGGACTACCCCTAACATTTAGGGGGATGAAAAATAGATGTTGGCCGATTCTCTTAGATACCGGATAAGCACAAAAAATTTCATCAAAATCGGTCAAGCCGTTTCGGAGGAGTATGGCAACGAAAACTGTGACACGTGAATTTTATATATTAGATTGTAATAATCTTTTTAAGTGGCCATTATTGTCAGTACATAACCGATGGGAAACAACGCGTTGTGTTTCCTCGTGTCCCCAATCCTTGAATCCTCAAACTCCTCTCAAATTCTCAATCCCCAAAAGGCCGGCAGCGCATTTATAGTGCCTTTGGTGTTCCAGGTGTCCATGGGCGACGCCGATTGTTTACCAGCTTAATCCATAAAAATTACATTAATTATCTTACTAGCATTTGAATTAGTTCTTTATCTACTCACATCTCTTAACTATTGCTTATTCTCGTTTTGAAGAGCCGCACCCGTTGTAACTACAGAACTCTAAAAATTGGAAATTCCATCGCAACTGACTGACATTTTGGCAGTATTTATATTCGGTTGCAAATATATATACCTACGTTATGTACTTGGGTACCGGCAGCCAGGCGCCATTTGCATACAATGGGTGTTTTATCTGAATAAAATATGTAAACTAAATAGTTTGGCCGTTATTGGTTATCTGGAAGATTATCTTGGAGATAATCAGGTATTAAATATACACATATATATTTTCTGAAAGTATTATGTGCATTGTACTACGCCCGATGTGTAATGATGTACCTACTTACATATTATTTTTTATTCGTTTAATCATCCTCAACCATTTAAACATTTAAGTGTGGGAGAGCCATGCTTCGGCACGAATGGGCCGGCTCGACCGGAGTGATACCACGACCTCACAAAAAACCGACGTGAAGCAACGCTTGCGTTGTGTTTCGTCATGTGAGTGAGGTTACCGGAGGCCCAATTACCCTCCCCTGCCCCAATCTCCCCAATTCCTGAATCCCCAACGATCCTCAAACTACTAATCCCCAAAAGGCCGGTAACGCACTTGTAACGCCTCTGGTGTTCCAGATGCCATCAGGTGATCAGGCTGCTCGTTTACCGGCTTATGTCATAAAAAAACAGCCTATAAATGCTTACTGCTGAGCAAGGTCTCTTCTCACACGGAGAAGCTTTGAGCATTGATCACTAGGCTTGATCAATGCGGGTTGACGATTACAAACTTATAATTCGAAATTATAAGAGCAGGTTTCCTCACCGTTTGTCAGTGGTGTCTAGATAATCATAGTAAGAACATATAACTCAGAAAAAGTCACAATGATACTTGCCGTTGGTAGGTTTCGACCCCGCAGCCTCATGCATGAGAAGCGGGCGTTTTAAACGTCCGGGCCACCCCGACATTTATTGGTTTTATCTACTTTTTTTCTCTATTCAAAGTATCGTAAAATGGGTAATAATCATTATTACAAGGTTTTATTTAGTTTTTATATGGTAGCGCAATTATCATCTTGTCATGTCTTTGATATTTAGCAATTCCAGAAAATATTCACACAATAATATATATAATAATTATTTTTGATATCATTCTCATTTCCCGTGAGTCTCAAGGGAGCAATTTTGCTGTGATTTCTTAAGTGTTCATTTAGTTAAAACTTTATTTCCCTTAGGAATATAGGGTGTCTTAAACACTATAGGACACTAAACCTAGAAATAAACAACGCAACAAGAATAATTTTAGCAACATTTTTTTATTAATTTAAGAATTCCACAATGGAACAAATTTTCATCAATACAATATCTAGACCTAAGCCAGATAGTAGGATATTGTGTTCGGGGTACTGTATGTTCGTTTAATTAATTATCAACTATTTTACGCAAATTTATAATTAGTGCACAAATGGACAATTATAATACCTGTATTAGAATCCTATAGCCTGCTTCGTTCAGTTTACTATGGGAAATAGCGAAAATAATTTATATAAATATAATTAGGTACATTACGACGATGCAAACAGTTGCACATTTGAAAGATTACTTACACTTACTAAACTATTTCCCAAAGTATACGATTTACATACATTGAGCACGTTTATATGATCGGATATACGAGTCAAGTGTTTTTACTTGACTTTTTATATATACGCCTATGATTGTTTTGTTAGCAATGAGTTGGGGTTAAGGGTAACTTGGATTATTACTACACACAGATACTAAGTTAAGAACAGAGTTTAAATGTAATTATTCCAATAATATCATATATCCGATCATAATAAATATTCTCAAAATAAACTTGAAAAGCTGAAGAAAGCCCCAGAAAATGTCCTACTTGTAGTTAAAAAACTTACTATCATATTCGAAGTAAGTTTTTTAGATAGTCAATACGTAAAAAGACATAGAGCGCAAAAAAGTGACAATTATTTAGTACGTACAAAAATAATTTCAGTAGACAGCTGTTGAGGCAATTCTTCAGCTAAAGCAAGACGAATTTACCGAAGCAAACATAACAGTTATTCACTACGATTACCACATAAATAACAAAATACGCCAAAATGTTTACCACACTAAAAAATTCGCTAGAACTCGGTAAATAATTACCGTTTTACATATACGCACAAATTAATTTACTAATCATGTACCGGAGAGAGTCACGCGTCCCTCAAACTGTAGTAATTAATTCGTATATGGCCTTCCAGATGGCCTTTTGAAGAACGCGAGCCTCTAAAACAAACAAGCATCGCATGTGGTCTAACCATTTGCCAAACGTTACCCAATGTCGGAGACAACTGCACTTGCAGTAAGGGATCGTCAGGATTCGCGTAGCTCAGGCCCTGTCACTCGCGCGCAAGCAGGCGAGACCAAAGATGCTCCGGCCAACATACAATCCCCTACTACGAGATCGCTGTGTCATATACCATAGATATATTTATACATTATGATTAGTCTATGTACACTCAACCCGCACCGTTCTCCACTACACCAATCGCTACATTACCCTATAATACAGTACAAAAAAATGAAGTCAACTAATAAATTTCTAATGTAAAAATCACAAGTAGTGCTATTCTTACTGTTAAAGAATTATATATTCTTCCATATATATAAAAAAGTCGCTTAAAAAAATCACAGACAATCACGTTTTTTTTTTCTGACATAGACCACCAAACCGACGACCGTTATTTTCTTTAAGCATTACATCGCTACGTACAAAATCCTACTTAGTTTTACAACCATCTTGGTTTACAATCGATAAGTCACCGTTATAATAACGTTCTATTTTGACCACTTACTTAGATGTTGGCCGTATTGTGTACCCTCGCACTCGAATGATAAATATGCAACAGAATTAATGAAAATATACGAAAATGATATCAACGCCGCGTCGCCCTAACACCAACCATAAGTAATGCGGGCTGCTGTACATCATACATCATTTGTTTTGTACTTTCCACATAATACCTACTCTAAATTATTTTACTGATGCCCAAAAAATACAATTTTGGCAACGTTTACATAAAAAACGGGTACCATTTATTATTCTTTTCCGATTAATTAATTTGTACTGGCAGTAACTCTTTAAGACTTCAGAAATTTGTACTTTAGTTCTTTATGCAGACAAGAGTGCTCGTTGCTTTTTTTTATATTTTTTTTTCTTTTTTGCATATCAATTAGAGTTATATCTCGTACACTTACACAAAGATGACACCGAGGACATAGTTATAAGTGACACCGAGATTGACCTCATCCAACTTAACAAGATGAAAAGGTTAAATACGTAAGTATATATGAAATATAATGCTTTATATACAGTCATGAACGACTATAATCATTTTATTTGAAACATCAAAATTATTCTGAATGTAAGATGACAATATATTAGAGCCAGAATATTATGAAAAGTGAATTAAATGGAATATAATTACTGAATGATCGCATCGTTTCCTCAAATCTAGCATCGCGTCAGTGTCCAATCACCATTCCGTTCAGTCCGAGAAGTGATTTTAACCTAGTGAGGGAGTGAGCATAATTTTACATCTTACATTATATTTTAATGCGAAAGAACATTTTTTTTCTTTACCAAATTCGTAGAGATCCCGAGGTACTCCCGTGATCAATTCAATTATAGTGCACCCTTAAAATATACAAAACATCCAATGAGTACTTAAATATTTCCTGTCCAGTTAAGTGCAACTATTTATGAATATTAGGTACTTAAATGTCAATTCCTTAAATAATGTACTTAAATATAGTATAATAAACATTAAACACGATGGACGGGTGTAACTTGTCGAAGTAAAACAAACTGGAAAATAAAAATAAAGAAAAGGAAATAAAAAACGTAAACCAACAAAAAATAAAAAACAAAAAAATAATTTTGTTACATTTTTTTAATTCGCAGAAACCTAACAAACAATAATTTCTCCATTTTTTTCTTTCGTCTCCTTAAAACATAGTAACATCTATGAAACACAAAAAAAGTAACTGGGAAAAATTAATAATAATAAAAATTACGAATAAAAATTTATACTCCGGAGAGTGAAGAAAGGTACAATTAGATTACGTTGATATTGACTTGTGGCCGATCCCCCCGCAAGTGTTGTGCTTACAAATGAGGTACATCAATGAGATTATTACAACTAGCCTAATTAACACTTACACTCTAGCTTAGACCGTCAACCCAGCTCGTCCCGAGCTCGCAGAGTCGCTGACACTCACTCGATGTATAATCCTCTTTTGAGCATGACACTGAGTTGAGAGCACTCACTACCTTGCAGAGATTCAAATAAACGTGCTTCGTATTATTATTACCATCGATAGCATTCCAACTGAATTCCATCCTTATTTACATTTCTAAAACTATTTTCATAAATTCCAAAAATGTATTTAACCAGCATTTATCAAGAACAAGTATTTAGAAATATAGTGACAAGATTTATAACATTAATTTATATATCATAAAATACATCTGTGGGAGTTATAGAATTTGACAATGACTATAGTTGAATCCTGAGGTAGTATATTTGTACTTTAAATTTTATTATTATTACTTTTTTTTTAATTTTCGACATAACTCTTAAAATCTAACATCTTATATTTTCCATCATATAAAAAATCTACTTAAAAGCTTACTTACGAACTAAATTACATCCTCGAGGTAGATAAACGTACATATTATAACTAAGAGGCTATGTAGAAAATTACATTCAAAGTTGTACGTGATTTGTTGTGTACAACTGTTCGGCGCTAGACGCGGGCCGAGGCTGGAGCCTGAATGTAAGGTCACTACATAGCCCATGTGACGGCAGAGGGTCACCATACCCGTAACAATCTTTGGCTTTACCATCACGACATCTCGCGATTTTATGTACACAAAAGAGAAAAAAAATTAATAGTAAACTAAAACATAAATCCTACATACAAACTCAAAACGGAACCAATTGATGTGCTTAAACTTAAATGCAACTTTGATCCAGCAATAATGCCTCACAGCAAGCAACTAAAGTTATAATTAACAATATTACACTCAAAATTTGACTCGAAACTATATCTTATACATCGCTCGCTTGAAGCTGTTGTATGGCGCATTGTTGGATCCAACCTTATTACTGAGCCCATGAAGATCTCACGGAGTACCAGCCACACACCATGCGCCTCACGCCGTGAGATCCTCATGAAGCGCCTTCTCTATACCATTACCTTCTAACCAGAGCTACAGTCACATGTATGAGGGAGATCGGCCAAGTCCAATGAAAAGGGATTGCAATACACCGACTAAATGTGAAATTTCCTATCACATCAAATATAACATTACAACTATTTAGGGACCACTAGTAAACTGTCCACTAATTAGCTTTAACAATGCGACAACTTAATTTAGACGTGTTATCCAATATCCCATATGTATACTGAATTTTGTACAATAATCACTTGAAATTAAATTATAATAGTCACAAACAATATTGCGGAACGACACGAACATGTTGCAGAATCAAAATTGACATGTGATGTTAATGTAATCTAAGTTTTGTACCTTATAAATTTAGAAAGAAGCAAATCCAACTATTGATTTCAATATAACGAGCCCATAGTGCCCACCGCTAACATTAGCAACCGTCCATAGACATACTCAAAATCCCTCCTTTTACTTAAACGAAAAAAGCTAAAAAAAACGTGATGCATTAATGCAATTCTCTTTTACGTATCACAAAAAACATTAAATGTCAAAAGAAATCACAACTATGAATTTTGAATTCATAAGAGAAAAAAAAAACGAAAAGACAAAAATAGAACAATAGTTTTTCCTCATCAATAATAATAAAGATAAATGTTAACAATTTGCAATTGAAGTAGCAAAAAAAAACATGTTCTTAACAATAATACACTTAATAAAGAATGCCGATAATTAAATGAAAGATAATAATTTTTATACAATAGTTACAAAGGATTCGGTCAACGTAAAGTATATGTATCTGGTTCACTCCAATTCTCCTACAGACCGTTTCCACCTAGATGTTACTGAAGGCACTGCGTTCGTAGATGTTCAACGCAACAGAGCAAATACGTTATAGATCATTGTCTTATAAGATTGCGGCACAGTGTCACATCGTGCGACGTTGCAATGCAATGCAACTTAAACTAATCGGTTCAACACCACCCTACCAAGTCCAAGAGAGGTCACAGACAAAAAAATAAAATAAAAAAGGAATTTTCTGTGCGATAATTCTCAAAAAATCGACATTAGTTCCCCCGGGCCCTTCCCTCAAACAGCTATGTGCTATTTTTTCTTTTTTTTTGGATTTTAATAAAAATATTTTCATTTTCAATTCGGAACCACGTCAGCTATTCACTCGCTCATTCACAATGCCCGTCTGAGAAAGTTTTACGTCAATCCGTTTGTCATTAGTCAAATAAAAATAATATTTTTATTGTTTTTCATTTTTCTTAATATAAATTTATTTTTAAAAATAAGCGAAGCCTGTGAACTCTTGCCACTTCTACTACCTTTCCATGACCCAACTTTGAATGATACAGAAATCAATACAGATTTACTCTTAATGTATTTGGCGAAATTCTTTACTATTTAGAAATAGAGATTTTCAATATAAATATCATTTAGTATAGTGTACAAATAGATTTAAAAATAGCCTGTCTATTCGGATATAAAAATATTCTGATATCCACTGTATATTTATAGCTTCTATTCGGTCTATTGATACTACTAGTAGACTTAATTCTATTCATATATCAAACAACATTTACTTGGGGAGTGTAGTACTACAGTAACGGATAAAATTTTCTATTTAAATATTTTTCTAACAGATGCAACTACTAAATCTATGTATTCCACTTGCACATTTATACTATCTATTTCAAATATAAATATATTCTCCATATATGACACACAGATACAATTTGTTAATATATGAATAGAACTTTTTTTGCATTTCATAACAAAAACGAGGTAACCATTCAAAGAGAACTAAAACGCAATCTTACAAATGGTACTAAACAACAGAAACTAAATATTTAAAAAAAGTCACTGAGCCTTTATAAACCATTCTCGTCATAAATATATTCAATAAAACGTGTATCCTAAAATATAAATATAATAATAAATATGAATGCAACTTATTCCTAAATATCAGGAATATTACACACAGTCGCTACATTCACACTTAACAAAAAATAAAATAAATAATACGATGTGAACTTAAACTTGAGGATATTTGGCACTGTACCATCTGCTTTATGTCACTAAACTATTTATTGCAGCTGAATGTAAACATATGAAGTATTACACTCGGGCGCCGCCGGCGTCAACACAACAAAATATAATACAATGACGCCGACAGACGCCCCTACATTTATCATTTAAATAATTATTTTCTTTAAAAAATCTCAACTGGTTGCACTTGAAATGACTAGGAATATAAAAGTAGTAAGTGGCCTTCATATAAATGCACTAAGACGAAAAAATCTTTATATAACGGAATGTTAAAATCGACACCATCCCATTGAAACATATAATTATTTGGTCTCAATAGTAACATCCGCCCAGGCGAGCCTGTTACCAACGACAGTGATGGATTTGCTTTACACATTCATGCATCGAACCTTGCATGCAATTTTTTTAATAACACGTTTTTACCTAACTACTTATGTATCTAGGGCAAAATTGTACTTTGTACAAAACTAAAACCGTTCCTCATTCACTGTACAGTAAAAAACTGCTGAAACTCTACTTTTCCGTATATTTTCGCACTTTTTTCCGTTATATTTCCTTATCGACAGTGTGGCAAATGTGAAAAAATAAACTATACAGCCTGCTTCCTATTGTATCACAGATATGTTGATTGCGTAACTAAAATCATATTTATCTAGTCTATTGTCATTATGTAAGTGTAATTAATAAAATAAAATAAATGTAAAACAGAGGTAGTTTTGCCACAGAGTGTCGGTACGCGTGTTTCAACCTAGGCCAAGGCGGTTTACAACATTCTCCTATTATTTACATACACTTAGCCTATGACCATCAGTCTCAACAACATTTCTAAGATTCCCTAGCTCAGGTATTTCATATAAGCTATGTCATAACTCGACCGAGAGCACAAAATAAATCGTCTATAAAAGGTAACTTCTTCTCACAGTCAACTGGACATATTACTAAAGTTTGCAAAACAATATTAAAGGTACTTAAACGAAATGAGGGTGCAATAAAAGGTACGACATTTTTCAAACATGGTACCAGACAGAGACGAGTACTGAGCAACCATTCAAAGTCACACATGAATATTAAATTAAGTAACAATTATCGCACAATTTCAAAACCTTAAAAAATCTTAAGATCAAATTCTGAGGTAGATACTGATTACATAATATGCATCAACGAGGTATATTATTGTACGCGTGTTATACACAGTTTGAGACACGGCTCGGCCGACCATGAGTTGATAACATAGATACCATCTTCGTAATCCAATCGTTAGCCGTCAGTTTATGGTAACGCGTTCAGAGGTAGATAAAACAGTCGTCCGGGCCGGTCCTAAATAGCAGAGGTAGTTCGGTTGAAATAAGATTGAGAACAAAACTTCGTGGGTTCTTACTGCGTATGGTTATGGAGGGGGCCTTGGTTGGGGAGGTGAGGGGTGACCTGATGGCGATGCTCGCGTGCAATGTGGCGCCGCACGGTGTTGTTGCGTGTGAAGGTACGCGAGCAGTGAGGGCACGGCACTCGGATACCCTGGTGCCGTTGCCTGATGTGGGCGCGCAGATTCGTCTCGTATCCGTAAAGTCTCTCGCAATATGGGCATTTCAGCTTTTTACCTGGAATTGGTATTGGCATATTTTAAAAACAATGAAACAATTCTTAAACTTCAAATCATTAACATTTACAGTTAGTCAACGTAATCGGATATTTCTCTCACCGTCAGCAGTAGCGATTCCACCAGACTTGCTTGTGAGCAGTTTCGTGGGCCAGATATCAGGGCTTGGTTTAGGCGGCACTGGTGACGTCTCCATTGGCTTATCGTGGTAGTTAGCATTCGGTAGCGACGTCGCCGGTGGCGGAGAGTTGTTATATGCTTGCGGCTGGTAGTCATTCTCACTCTTTATCCGTAAATCTATAAAAAGGATAGAACATTTCCGTTATTGCTATGCTCAATTTTACAGGTTTCGATAAGATTCAGAACTCACAACTACACTACCTCACTACAAAAACATTCTACCTACTGCTGCTAAGCATGCATCCTGAAAAGCAGTGTATTGTTGGCGAAGAATTGGACTCACCCGCTGACGGATACCAGGGATTCCCTAAGGTTCCAAAAGGTGATTAATACGACGTATGTCGTCGGGTGTATGATAAATATCATACCACCATCACCAACCATTCTTTCGCCATGCGTGGTGATTATGGAAGAACATGAGGATGAATGATAATGAAATTTATGAGATGAGAATTCGCTGACGACCATTCTTTGCAGCAGTCACAGGCTGTATCATCTTCAGCGGATAAGGATGTTAGAGAGCTGACATGATAGCGTGACATCTGTCGAAAGCTGTAAAGAATAGCTGCCAGCGCGTTTTTGACTGAACCTCTTCAAGAGGTTATTTTGGCCAATAAGCTCTGTTAGTACAATTAGTTCCCCTCTTCCAAATCATCACGCCAATACATAAGTTTCTAAAACCTACCTTCAGCACCTTGGTCATTGTTTAAGCGTTCAGGCATGTCGTCGTTGGCCGAAGCGCTGCGTTCGTATCCGTTGTTCTTGATTGGGTTGCCGTGGGTCGATGTGCAGTCAGGGGGGTTCTCTTCGTAGCGGGCACCAGCTCCTGGCGACGAACGAGTGTCGGGCTCGTCAGCAACGCTGCCGCAGTGCGAAGAAGATGAACTTTGCCTGGAATCAACAGCAATTTTGGTTAAAGATCTGATCAAACAACACAATTAGCATTACACAAATATTGAATTGATTATATTAACAGTTTAGTACAATGCTTTAGTGATGCGTATTTTTATTTCATTTTGTCTTATAAATGGGTTTCTTAGTAGTTTACATTCAACCGTAAAAACAGAACACTTATCAGAAAAACATAAAAACGACGCAATTTTACCCAAAAAATGATTCAATAACATTTTACTTATCGGAAAAAAGTAGTTCAATCAATTTAAGATTTATTTGATCAGGTGTAACCTCGAAAGCGATATCATCCAGATATGCACATAATGCGTTATTACACTGAACTTAAATAAAATTTTTGTGTCCAAGGCTAAAACAATATTTGCATCATATTTGTATTCTTAAACGAAGACAATGGATTCGATAAAATATTCGGTTTCTATTCTGAGCCACTTGCATAAGTGAATACTGATTGAAGAGATATAAGATTTCATTTGATGAAAAACTATGGAATATTTTTGTTTCAAGTCATAAACGTAAATGAATATTTAAATATTCCATTTCCTGTTCTATCATGGCTGCAATTTAGTACTCACCTGTAATTCCTTGCGTGTGGGCTTTGAGACGGAGACGGCTTTGGTGGCGCTGGTCTGCGGTGTCCACCAGCGTGGATAGGCAAGTGAGCCGGCGGGGCATACCGCCCCATGCTGCCGCTGCCATGAATTGGCATACCATACTGCGGCATGATCGGAGCAAACGTGGCTGTATGAGAGGAGGGAGCAGCTGACTCCTGCACCTCACAGTTGCCTGACCCTGACACCGGACTGGTCTTTATGCGAGTCTGATGGCGGTCTCCAGAGTTCTGCTGGGTCTGTTGCTTAACCCAAGCATCCTGAGACATCTCCATCGACAGGCCTTTGACCTGGAAATGTTATATTCAAAATTAGGACAGTTTTGCTTTTGTAGCACCTGAATAAATTATCATGTATTGATATGGTAATACAATTGACGTATAGAGTAAATAGCATGCGTGTGTATACTGTATAACTTTGGACTCTGCGCATGGATTTCTTAAATAAACCTGATTCAAAAAACAATATACAATTTAGATTTAGGTATCAGTGTATTACACTAGTAGGTATTTATAATTTATATAAAACTTCATAGTAATATAATCAAGTAAATATAATCAAGTTTAACTACTAACCTGCAAATTCTCCCCACTCTTGAGGAAGCTGGAAAGCGCATCCTGGCTGACATGCACCTCTCCTTTGTACATGAACTCGAGGAGAGCCTGCATGTTCTCAGCCGTAGTGGCTTCCAGAATGACGTAGCACGCGCCCACATGACTTGGGGGTGCTGAGTCAAATAGCTCTTGGAAATGCTTACTGCATGCTGCAAGGATCACCTTATGAGCTTTGAATTGGCGTCCTGAAACAAGAAATATATAACTTTAGTCTAAATGCAAACAATAATAGGCATATAATTACATAACAATTGACAATTTTTCAGATTTTTAACTAAGCCTGTTGACCCTTTTATCTATATTTATATATTTAAATATAATATAAATCGTACGTCGCAGCCCACGCGATGCAATAAACAATAAACAAAAGTCAAGGTAAATGGTCCCTGAGCAATTCTGAGAAGCGTACGAGGGGAACGTCTTAACTACGTGTGTTATGGAACGGGTGTAGAATTTATTTTTGTTTTATATTGAGCCGAACAATAATTTACACATTCTACAAATACACACTTCAATCCTAATCTAGTGGTGATGTTGATCCAATAAATTTGAAAACAAAAGAATGTTGCGGTAACTACAATTTCTGATTCAGCTGTTTTATTAATAACTGTATTTCATATTACTGTCGTAAAATTATTCTGTATCAAGAAAGAATCCCACATTTCCAACTTGAGTTAACCTTGTCCTACTAGAAATAAATAGGTCAAATACGATAGTAACATTCATAACCTGTACTTAATTCACCTGTTTTACTTAGTTATTTGTTAAAAAGTCCTTTAAAATGTATTTGTTTTAGTTAAATGTCTTACATTTTCAATTATTCAATTCAAAATACCTATTTAAAACTATTTAACACGGGCGCAGTTATCAAACAATCCATATGATTCATTTGTTAGCGTGGTTAGACTTAGTTCACGTTTACAATCATAGATGGCGTTACAATAAACGTAGTGTTAATAAGCTTCAGATATTTATGTAATTACTCTTTCAATTCAGTGTTCTCTCTCATAATGTTGCATTAGTTTAAAATACAGTGAAAGCCTGTGTGACTGGGTGAATATATTTTTGAATTATTGATTGTTATACAAAACCCCAACAGTGAAAACAATTCGTGGTACATTTATTCCCTTGGAATGCCACAGGGCTCGCAGCTAGGACCTTGCATGTTTATGAAATTGTACAGGTATATTATCTATAGTTACCATTGTATCGATATAGGCCACACGTATCTGTTGGTCGCACTATAGATAGCCAGAGTACTTATACTATTACGTCACTACTCGCGGAGCGCGGAACAAAATACGGTTAGCCTTGGACCCGCGGTCGTATGCGCAGCGGAAGGCCGGCCGCACGCACTACGATAGCAGTTTGTGGTCAAACCCAGACTTCATTTATTTTACTGTTTTACCGTATTACATCGGCATGCAATGACACCAAATCAAAAATGCAATGACACAATGATGGCTAAAATATGGAACAAACGGTTTATAATTAGTTTATAAGTTTAAACTTTTCGCTCACATGGTAAGATTATTATTATTAAGGTTTGAATTATATTATTAAACTTTTTGATTCATTTAATTTTGAAGCATGATACGTACCCCGTAGTTTGCAAGGTACGCCATTAATTTTGATTCATTATTATTAATAGCTTCAAGACATTTTTTATTTAACCTTAAATAAGACATCTGTGCGTACATCCACGTTTATATTATAAAGGTAGAATTACAAAATATTGCTATAAATGTATTCTATTGCACTGTTTCCATAAAGGTATTCTACCTACAATACAATTAAATACATTTTAAAACTACTATACCAGTGATAGAAAATGTCCTTGAACTGTAAATATATTATTACTGTAGAACGCATATTGTGGCACAATTTTCCGTTTTCCCTAAAATATAATAATTTAGTAGGCTTAATATTTACCTCATGGGCCTTCCCTGATAAATTCAAACGCACGATACACTTTAATTAACGCAGTAATTGGTCAATTGTATCGCCAAGCAAAGCCATATAAAGGCATTATAATATATTAATGTGTACATAAGCTTAATCGTCATGGTTATAAAATAAAAGGATAAGTTATTTCACGCTAATGATGATGGTTTTTCTAGTTATTATTACATTTTATTATCTCGGTTAAATGATTTGAAAAAACATCATAACTATACCAATTTTATTATTGTCGTTATGGTTCAAATATTATTTTTAACGCAAGTATGCAACCAGCCTATCGATGAGGCACAGCGTTGCACGATCGTTTCGCTGCTACAAGCCCCGCCCACAGATTTATTTGAAAGACTTCCTCGTTCTCCGATCGGTTTTTGTTAGGTGTTATATTATTATTAATCTCTCATTATTATTGACTAAATAATTGCAAAAGGCGAAAAGTAAGTAATAACTATAGTTATTTTGTTTAATACCGTCGATAATAATGTGGTATGAATGAATTTCGACGCCGCTACGCCATTTATCCATCCACGCAAAATCTAGAATACCTAGGTACTACGAGTGCTACGAGATTGATTTTCGCTACGAAACTTCGTAGCACTTTGCTACGGTTTTAACATTCGAGCCGAATGAAGTAAAAAGTAGTTTCAATACATTTTCTTATCTTTTACATAGAAACGTAACGTGTTTTTTTTAATTCGGCTTTTATCGCGTCGGTTTTGTGTGCAGGCGGCGACGGAACACGTACTCATGACCATCTATTTATATTCTATTTAACTCAGTTGTAGAATATTAATAGGTCGTGGCAAATCAAGACAATTTTACGTATAGGCTCGAACTCACCAAGCCTGTTACGTACAAGAATAAATATACATTAAACAAATATTAATTATTGCACAACACCTCATTGTGAGTAGTTTTTGTGGTAATTAAATTAATGAGTAGAATTTTTTTTATCTTTTTATAGTAAACGAGTTTAAATAATGTATAATTATAGTGATGATTTAAAATGAAGTTTTAGTATAATTATATATTTCAGTACGTGATGGGTTTCAATACTTAAATAATATAACTATACTAAATCTAGTAGCTAGAACATATTAGTAAATGAATCTACTAGTACGTAAGAATATTACCTACCGAATTATATCACGGAGTCAGCTCTAAATAATAGATAAGTACGGCAGTACTACGGAAAGTACGATCAATCTATTATTAATCCGATTTATCTACTTTAATCTAGTATCAGACAGGTGCCTTCAAGCCCTTCGTGATACAGAACCATATTATATAACCATTACATACCTAGCTAAAAAATAGTAACACGACAACATATCGAACTATACAAAACCAATTTATCATGGTCTCATTGTATATGATCTTTTTGCACATTCAACGATCAGCTTATACTGGTTATGCATACTTCAATGTGTGTCCCTAAAAATACTCTTAATAACAACCTTATTACACAGTTATAAGAGTGGTTTTGAAATAACAAACATTTTTTAGAAGGTAACTTCTAGAGTCATAGATTAAAAATATTTGTCCAATTTCGCGCGCAACCACAAATAGAATGTGACACGACACTTTTGGCGCCAAATTAACGCTACGCAATCTGTAATCAATAATTTGATTAGTTGATAATATGCGCACAGATTAAAAATTACTATTGCTGTATTATTTTAATCGATATTTTTAATCTATGATTCAGGTATTTATTGTGAAAACTTTTTGTTTTTGATGAGGAAAACCTACAAATATTGCATTTGGCTGTATGATCAATGAAATATTAGTATTATCTGTAGCCTCCCCAACGAATGCATTTCAAAATAACAAACAAGACGTTACATAATATAAGACAAATGTAAAACTGTAAATCTTTACATGTGTATACTTAAAAATATCTATTTGTATGTATATCTGTGTAATGTATGTAAATTGATGGATCATATCTTAAACGCATTACAAACCATTCAACCTTGAAGAGGCTTGTATGGATCTTGTATGAAAAAAATACGTAAAATTTAAATACCTAATGAATGAGAATGGATCATGAATGAAATAACAAACTTAAAAACATAACATTATGCTTATTTTTCTCTAAAATAGAAGAATTATTACAGTACTTTATATTTCTGTTTTTCTTCGCGTGTAATATATTAAGAGTCTACTACCAGATACAGTATAAGATTCCAACAATCTAGTCTACCCATACAGTATTTTTGAAGTACCACAATCAAACCAAAACTTAAACGTCCTTGAAAACATTAAAACAATATCAATTAACTGTAAAAAATTACATTCCGTACTAATAAATCCGTGGGAAACGGAAAACCTTGAAAATTAAGATAATTTATAAAAAAAACCGTAATCGATAGAGGTCCGCGTGAACTCAATTATCTCATTGAATAATTATTGATTCGGGCCTTCCTATGAACCAATTTTTTATTGATACCCAGGCTCACGTATGAATAAAGTTCTATGCTTGAACTTTTCGCTAGAAATTAAATACTTCATGTAAGGAGTTTACTTATAATCGCATATCGACAGGCCCTGCTACAAACATATATACTGACCTATTTCTAATTATTTTTAATCTCTATCGTTGCATGTAAAAGTAGGTCCAAACCACAATTTCATGAATGCCTCTTATCAAAACATTCCATTCTATTTTCTGAGCCATCAGTGAGCACTACGATAGTGCCATAAGTCACTGCAGTTTCACAACGCGCATGCGCCCACTGCTGCGTCTGCGCACACCGCCGCGGTTTAACGAGGAAATGAGCGAACGACATTGGTCGCTCGCGCAGCTTGCAACACCACTGACATTGGCCCCATTGCGGGACCTACAAACGCTTATCAAGCATGTGTGCACTACGGACGCTATATAATACGTTATGATAATTGTGATTTAGATTTCTGTGTCAAATAAGCCCATTTATAAATATAAAGGTTAAGAAGGCTGAACAAATATTCCATTGAAAATATTTTTCAGATATTCATAGCGAGGCGAGGCTGTGAATGAAACAATTTTAAATGCTGAAAATATGTTTTAAAAAGGTCACATTGCGTAAAATTCTAGGTCGCGAGCGCAAACTTGCAATGACCTTTTATTTTATTTTTCTCGGTTACTCGTTTACGATTCAGTAAATCATATCAAAGATCGCTTTTATCCATAAATATGTTTTATTTTTTGTTTTTCAATTCACCGACTACATTACTGGAAACA